GGACGACCAAGCAAAAAAAAAACATGTATGATGGACGACCAAGCATAAAAAGAAATCATAACAATCTATAATGTATGCATTGGCGGCCATAAAAAAAACCCAACAACAATGTAAACGCATGGCCAAAAGATAAATTAGTCGTAGGCCATAAAAGAGCAAAAGCAAGGATTGTTTACTTGGAAAAACTTGTGTGCCACACGGGTTTGAAGGAGTTGTTCACTGGAGTGTGGGTTGTTGATGAACGGTGAAAAATGGAGGTTGATACTAGTCTTTATTTATAGAGCTAGAAGATGGAGCTAGTAAATCTTTTCAGTTAAGGAAAAAATTTGATTTAGAGTGTTACAAGGAGAAGGAAATTAAGTGTCCTTGCCAAACATGGCAAGTACCTATTCTTACTTTGATAATCTAAAATCAATAATAAAAAAATCCAATATTTTCTGGCCTTGGTGCCGAAGTTCAAGGTGCGAAGTCTAGAGAACAATTAGAGCAGCATGATTGGTTTCTTCCTCTAGCCAAGCTGTGATTCGTGGGTGCATTTGGTCCTTATTTTTCTTGGTAATTCACGAGGGTTTAAGAAATTGAATTGCAAGGCTTGATTGTCCATAGGCCAAATTAATTACATGACAATGTTTTTGTTCAATGGAAACAATAATTGAAGTTTGCATGCACTGCATTTTGCTAGCAGTAGCCGTAGAGGAGAGGGGCTTTTATTTATTTGTATACATATGGTTTTGTGGTTCGAGACCAACACTGGTTTGTGGCCAAGGGAGATAGTGGCGGATCTGAATTTGGCGTGGACGATGATAGTTCTGTAGCACATGTTAACTACTTAGTACATAATTCTTATGCACTAAGTAATTAGGAGGCATTTGTTTACCCATAAAAATTAACATTGTACCACATCAGTTAAAAACAAGGAATTAAATGACTTTATAAGGCCAACTTAATCATATCAGTTTAAATTAGTTGAGTGAGCCATGAAGATTGGATTTTTGGGCCTATTACTCTGTGCCACCACGCGCGCCATGTATCTTCAAATTTGGCTAAGTATGGGAGCCACCCCATGACACGCAAGGGGGGTGGCCACCATCACATCACCCCCAGGACGTGGTAAGGGGGTGGGCATCATACAGCCACCCCCAAGAGGTACCAAGGGGGGTGGCCACCATCACACTACCCCCAGGACGTGGTAAGGGGGGTGGGCATCATACAATGGTATGGCCAAGGCAAGGGGGTCATGTGAGCACATTTTTACTCAATGGATAAGCAAAACTACGAAGGAGATGCCAAGAGCAGAGGTTGAGGTCTCACGAGGAGGAAGTCAAGACTGAAGAGGATTTCACATCCAACATCAGGGTAACCGTCATAGCAGTTGAGAGGGTAACCGTCACTCCACGTCAGCAGAGCAGTTTCTTGGGGCAGTTACTTCTGGTGGCTATAAATAGGAGGTGAAGATGACAGAGAAATGGTTTGCAAAAATCACAATGCGACACCACTTGTCAAGTTTTATCATTTTATCTTTTCCTCTGAAGATTTTAGCCATAGTCATAGTTTTTGGAGCTCTCACTGAACCTCCATAGGAGTAGGGCTAATTTAATGTAGATTTGCCTAGTAGTTCATCAAAACATTGAACACCCTTGTTTGAACTCTGTTCAAAGAGGTGTGAACTGTGTTGTTTGATCGTTTGTTTGGAAGTCAAAGGTGTAAAATCCAATTATGTTCATCTAGTTTTTCTCGCCGGGAAAACAGTAGAAATCATCACTCAATTTTGTTGTACATTCTTCTTCAAGTTCTTCTCGTCTCCTTTTTTTTCTTTCCAACGACCTCTGTTTTTCCTAGAGAGAAATGAGGAAGGAAAAAATGGAGAAAGTATTGTTTCCAAGGGCTTTCCCCTCGTTTTTATGAGAAGAAAATTGAAGGAGAGGGGAAAAAATGAGTGGTGGTTTTATATAGTATATAAATATTTATTTCATGATATTTAAATGATTACATTTTAGGAAGCGTCTAATACGCACCCCATTTTTTGGGTGCGTCGTATGTGCCACTTGTTAATAGCCGTAGATCGTACGTGGAGTAATTATAACCGTTGATTTTAATTATTTTTATTTAAAATAATAATTACAATTTCCCTGTCCCTTTCTTTCTCAAATTTCTCATTTTATGAACGACCATGGACCTGTTTTGCTTCCATGCTATTCAAAATTTTAATTCTGCAAGCCATTGATGTTATAGCAGCTTGTATAGCTATTCAATTTTAATTCTGCACTAATTGCATAATTATTGTATTAATTGCATTATGTTGACTGTACATTTGTTAGGTTAACCGGTGGATCCGAGATACTATGTCCACTTGACATTTTGTTGGGTTATAACGTCGAGGAGGGTTGCAGTACGATCATCATACTAAATGAATACAGTGATGAGGAAAGCTAACATAACTATAAGCTAGTTATCCCCGGTCCTCACCGGGCAGCCAACGTTTGTAACTTTACGAATCATGTGTGTAAAGTAATAAATTACAAACTTGAAACAAAATTTCTTAATTTTAAAAATCATTACTCAACGGCATCCTAATTTGAAACTGATTGTAGTCCTTACAAATCAAGCGTAACAAAATATTTCTAAGTTTGTAACCAATATCGAAAATTTTGTAACTTATTAACATTATCTCCAACCTTAATTAGCAACTTTCACAATGTATGGTACTGTATCTTGTTTTTACATTAAAAATGTGTAACTCTTACAAATTATTAAGGACATTGTAGGGATGGAAATTGAACCGGGTCTACGAGTACCCAACCAGGTCAAACAATGTAAAATAGGGTAAAATCTGTCAGTTTTATGGTCATGTTTGGATAAAACCTAAATTTGTTATGTGCGGGTTTGGTTGGTCGCTTGTTCGGCCATAGCCGACCAGCACAGAATGACATAAAACAATGTCATTTGTTTCTTGTGAAACCTAAACTTAACAACTCGTGACCTTCTTCTATCATTCCTGCAATCCCTATTCCCTCGTCCATCCATTTGATTATGGCGACCGTCTCTGGTCATCTCTCGTCTTTTTCTTGTACCAGGTCCACCTCCATAACTGCAATTTGTTTATTCCCCGCCCTCTCCCTACCCTCCGACCGATGTCCACTTTCTCTTATTTTTCTCGTAGTGGTTTTGTAAAACTACCAAATCATACGAACATTTGTAACTTACATTTTAAGAATTTTGTTGGGGTTAGAACCGAGAAAGGTTTCTACCAAAAAAAAAATGAAGGATAATTCTACCTATGGTGGAGGTGTACTCTTGCTTTTACTCTAGAATTAATTATCCTTCTTTATTTTTTTTCCTTTAAGCACTTAAAAATTAGAAGATATTTTGTATTTAAAAACCTAAAATTAATAATCATCTACACGGTTTCCAACTCCAATACAATTCTTAAAAAAGTAAAATTACCAAATCTTCATATAATTTGTAAGTTTATCAAAACCATTAAGAGGATTATGATATATTATGTTAATAATTTGTAAGAATCATTGGCGTAGCCAGCTAAATGCCTTGGTGGGGTCCAAAGATTACAAATAACTAGGAAGTCCTGGCAGTTTAGTTATCTCTATGGAGAGCTGGGGTACAAAGCTCGAATCCCCTAGTCCCCTGCCTTGGTATTGCTTTTTTTTTATAACATGAGCTTCATTATCAAGTGGGGTCCACTGACCCCACATCAAGCAACGTGGCTCCGCCACTGGTAAGAATTACATGAGCTTCTTTATCAAGTGGGGTCCACTGGTAAGAATTACAAACATTTCAAATAATTACATATCACCGTACTATAAAAAGGGTACGCAAAGTTCATAATAGTAAAATTTACAAATGTCTTATCAATTGAAATTGAAAGGTTTTTAAAAAGATAATAATGTTGCTTAAAATGTTATATAATTTAAAGTAGTTAAAAATATGTTTAACATTCTGTAAAGTGACACATTTTTCAAAGCAATGAAACTTTGTAAGAGTTGGCTAGAACAACTTTTAAAATTTACGACAATTAAGAGTACATAGAAAAATTTCTAAAAGAGATTACAGTTATAGGTTATGCAGTTAAAACTACATAACCTATAAATGCAATAATAGGTTATCTGCTCCACACCGATAACAAGTCCTCAAATTTCTGAGTGCTGCTTCTGAAGTTATTTACGCCGTAGACTCTTCATAATCTGCTTCTGTTCATCAGATATGGTGATGACGACCAACGTTTCTCTGTCCCTTTCTTTCTCAAATTTCTCATTTTATGAACGACCATGGACCTATTTTGCTTTCATGCTATTCAAAATTTTAATCTGCAAGCCATTGATGTTGTAGCAGCTTGTATGGCTATTCAATTTTAATTCTGTACTAATTGCATAATTACTGTATTAATTGCATAATGTTGACGGGACATTTGTTAGGTTAACCGGTGGATCCGAGATACTATGTCCACTTGACATTTTGTTGGGTTATAACGTCGAGGAGGGTTGCACTATGATCATCATACTGAATGAATACACTGATGAGGAAAGCTAACATAACTATAAGCTAGTTATCCTCACTGCTGCTCTCCCTTGGAAGTAAGTACCAAGTAACAACGAAAGAGAAAGCACTTCAGTTTTATTATATATAGACACACACACACACACGCACAAGTAGCTATGGATGTCTTTTCATCCCATTGCATTACGATATTATATAGTCCATGTTTTCAAGAAATGGTACCATATATATGTAATTACTAGGAAAATGAGCAATTGGGCAATGATATAGCCTTCTCCTTGGATAGGGCAGCAGCAACAACAGTAGACTCATGAGTACAAAGAAGCAAACTCAGTCTCTATTCCATCATCTATGGCCATCAGCAAGCGCTCGAGTGAATTCCAATTTAATTTTGGCTTAAGTCACTTTTATGGCCATCACAGAAGTAGCCTGCAGCATCATTTAATGTTATGGTATAGAGTCATGTAGTAACAAAGAAGTTACTGGTGATGTCTGCAGATATCGTGATTGTCTTACATTGGTCCTCAACCAGTAAATCCAGCGACTCTTGCAATGGTGGCCAACTTTTTATCTACGGTGGTGTTGAAACGGGATCTGACAAAGTTTTAACAGTGAGTTGTGGAAATGTTTGACAGACAAGATTTATTTTTTGAATTGTGGTTATATCTCATTTATTTCCCCTCTTCCAACCACAGATTGTGACACTAGAATGGTCCTCGTCTAAAGCTGAGAGATTAAAATGTGCTGGTCATATGGACCTCATCACGCTTACTGGCTCCTTCGCTGACATGATTGTGCTGCCAAATGGGGGCTCAAGTGCCATGGATAATCAGCACAAAGCTGCTCTTACTGTATTGACCAGCCCTGGCCAATTGCATCGTTTTGATGGTGCTAGCTTATCTTCCTTACTGTCTCATCAAGATAGGAAAGCAATGGCTATCTCTCTGGTATTCCCAGCTATAGTGCCAACAGTTGGTCCGCCCATGACTGCAGCAAGATTCATTGCATTGCCAATGCATACGAACTCTCTAAAACTTTCATCCGGGGTACAATTATCTAACGTGTGCAACTTACCTTTGATTTCATTTTTGGTTTCTTTTCTTCTAAATATGTTGACTTCTTAGGTTGGTTTAGCTAAGAAGCGAAGCTCCAACTCAGTGGCTGCTAGCCCAAAGGAGAGGTCAATAGGGACGCTGAGTCATTCTACTGAAAGCATTGATGTTGAGAGAGTGTACATAGCAGGATATCAAGATGGATCTGTGTGAATGTGGAATGGAACATGGCCTGTCCTATCACTTATTTTCCTTATAGAGGGGAAGGTTAGCAAGTATTCTCAATGTTTGTTCTCGATAGCTTAATTATGCTCGGTTGTATGAGGCCTCATTACCTTGCTATATCTTTCACAGATCGATGCAAGGATTAGAGCTTGTGGCTTTCGGTGCTCCAGTAACATCGATCCTTGGACTTCTGCTTGGACACGTTGCTATTGGCTGTAGGAACTGACCATGGTCTGGTAAGAATTGAGAAGTATCTGATGATTTTGAAAGAGTATGGAATATAGGCATAGTTCTGCATGCTAATATTAGATGGCAATTGTGTTATGTGACCTCTTGGTACCTATTGGAATTGCATGTTCATGTTTATAATTTGAATGAGAGCTCGAATGAAGCCAGCTTTTGGTTTGTTACAGAAAGTACGTACACGTGAAAGTAAGTTAAAATCTAACCTCAATATAAAGTGAGTTGAAAGCTCATCTCAATATGAAAACCAACTAAGTTTTCTGGCAAGATAAACCATGTCTGCTACTACATCATTCATCAGGCTGGCATATTCGTTCCAAAAACTCTAAGGTGGAACTTCAAGGACAAGATGGAGAAGATTATGAGCTGCGATAGTGGGCACATTGCATTAGTATAATTTACTTTACTCATCTCCAGTCAAGTATGAATTTCACGGGTTCTTTCACATTGTTCTGAGGTCTCCAATGAAACTTGGCTATGCTTAACGGATCTATAGGCAAACGGAAGCGAAATGGCATTCGTATCGCTATTTTCAGGTGAAAATTGTTTCAGGTAAATTCATGACATCTCCATTCATGCCTGGTAATGCAAAGGTAATTTTACTTTTCATCTTCTAATGAAATGACGCAGTACACCTTAACTTCCCAGGATACCGCAATCACTTCCTTCTCTCATGATAAGGTTCTTGCAGCTGCTACATTTAAGGTCTCCTTCAATCAGAAGAAAAAGCAGGTTCTCATAGTCATATAACCTCTTAACTTATCCCAAGCTAGACGATGAATTTTCGGCCATGTAGCTTATGCATGGTCACATGCAGGATACTACTAAACCAGGAATCCTTCGCTGTCTTGCCAAAAGCTTCAAAGGCTGTAAACCTTACCAGAACCTGGATGCTTCTCATCTCAGATGTGTCATACCTACAATTTCTCCCATCTTGAGGGTTTGTTTGCCAAACCGCCCGCATCGCCAGACTCGACATCTCGCGAACCACCACAGCCAGAATCTGACTCATCATCTCTTCCTCCTCCAATCAAGAGCGAGAAAGCAGAGGAGCTTAGCATATACGACATTGTGATAGATGACTTGCCGCCTCCTCTATCCCAACCAATGACAACCACCTCGAAACAGCCTAAGAAGGAGAAGAGAGGTACCATTTCCTATCAACCATTGTATTGAATACTGTTGGTGTCTGTGTGTGCCTGGCTGACGATATGATTTTTGGACTACGGACCGACCACGACGAGCGAATGGTACAGAAAGGGAACAGTTATTAGGCATGGATGATGAAATCAAGCCTAGACTGAGAACACCACCAAGAAATTATAGCTACATATAGGAAAGCAGGGGTAATCGACTGATGATCGATATTGTTTTCTAATTATATGTATGTTTAATTAAGTGATCTTGTTTTCAGGTACATCCAATCCAAGTGGGGAATGCATACCAGTGGCAGTGAAGGGATGTTGTCAGCTGCGAACATGACTATGCGGGCAAGCCAGATGTCTTGGTGTGAGCTCAACACACACTGGACAAACATATTTGGAGTGCAACTATGGTTGCTGGAGCTGGCCACATTTCCACTGCGACCCGCATCAATGCAACTATAAGTTCCCTTGTTCGTTTAGGTTTCTGAATTGTGCTTTGTTTATTTTTCCTTTCCTTGTTTAGATTAGTTTTACCGCTTGTAATGCCTATTAAAGGCTTGGGGTCGTCTGTAAGAGGAGGGAGTTGGATTATCGAATTATTTGCCCTAATTCTCGAGTTTGCGTACTTGTGAATTTTGCTTGGGTTTTGACGAAGGTTGAAACTTGCTGAATCCTGCTTATTGACCAAGAACAGCACTTGATCGCATCAAAAGCTTCATTATATCGATCGCGCCTTCTCCCGTGTGAGAGATTACTCTTTTGTTTCCATCGAAACCGCGTTCTAACGAGTTCTTCGAGCTAGTTTGAATGTAATTGCTTGGTTAATTCACACCGAGTTAATCGAGCCCTGCTGCGCAATTCTGAACCTAGCAACTTAACTCGTAACCGAGTTTATATATATATATATATCACCCAAAGAGGCAAGATTTATCACGCTTCAAATCACAAACTAACAAAGTTTCTTATCTACAATTAACAATCCAAACAACAAGAATTTAATAATTCCATCGACATAAATTCCACTAATTTCGACATTCACTATAGTTCAATATTCTTTCATCCAAACTAAATTAAGCTCGAACATACACTAAAAAAGCCTCCTGATAGCATTCCTTCTCCAAGAGTGGTGCGTGATAGTACGTAGTAGGTAAAGCAAGGGAAGTGTTACTTTGGCAATTTGATTAATATCTTTGCCATGTTAGAAGCACGTTTATAACTCACCACGTCCTTCATGAATTCGCTAACCTTTTCGGAGCACAAATTAGGAGAAAGCGAAATGTGAATCCTCTGCAGTTGTGAAGCAGTGGATAGGACAAACTTGAGAAGATCAAGCTCACCCTGTGTAGCAAGGCATTCCTCAAATTTTAACACTCTAAGCTGCTGCAAACAACGGTTGCTGGATCCTTGGCGGTACTCTCCTTAATTCCAAAAGGCTTCCTATGCTTGTTGCCGCATCATTATTCGCAGGCTGACTTGGTTGGCTACAAGAGCATTTGTCAAAGACGCAAGTTAGGCCAGAGACCACAGTTACTCGTATATAGAACTCGATCTTCAGTAGCCGGCAACACAAAACGAACCTTAATGTTGAGTTTACGCAACGTGGGGGAACTCAGGATCAGATAAACAGAAAAACGCACCATCTCCAACCTCCCAAAGTGGAGATTCATAAAGTCGAGGGTTCTTAACTTGTAAAGAGGAGTTCCCTTGCTGGGAATATCATGACTATTACCTGCAGCAAGGTCTTAACTCAGAGACAAACCCAGGTGAGTTCCTGTTCCAGAAAGAAACCAAGAATGGGAAAAGGTTATAATTAAGCAGGAAACTTACTCGTGGATGGCCAAATTCAATCTTCAGTAACCGGAGTGCTGGGAGAGAAGCAAACATAACTACAAAATCTGCAGGCTTATCGATGTATCCAAGCGAACGTAAGCGAGGAGTACGTACGCTTCAAGCAGATTTTCTGTAAGCCCAAGCAGAAGAATTGAAGCAGAGATATTCAAGACATGGAGCTAGCGACGATTACTTGGACCGACCATCACAACCTGCAAGCCCGCGCCCAACTGTTTAAGCATCGGGCACTTGAGAAGGAAATTCTCACTGAAATCAGAGGGCAGGGTTACAAATGCCAACCCAAGACTGGTAAGCTTACTAAAACCCTCAAACCATGATGGTTGTCTGAATTCGCAATTAACAAGATACAGGCACTCCAGGTGAAGACAAGACAAGAAAACAAGGCAGAATGTAACTTGTATTTCTGCCGGTCACGAGAAGGACATGAAAACTTCAAATCCCGGCCGGAGACCTCGATCTCTGTAAAAGATAGAGAATGATTTCAGCAATCTCGTTCCCGTGGCAGGGACTCAATCCAGGAACCGAAAGCACAAACTTTGTTATTGGCCCATCATGAAGAAACATAGCTTTGTAAATCTTGAACATGAATTAGCTTGGTCATGTCAGCAGCAACTAGCTAGTGCATGGATTAGTAATTACCTTTACCGCGCACCAAGGGTTATATTCAGCAAGGCACGAAAGGCTGAAACTCGCCAACCGTAACTTCCAACACAGTGAAACCGAAGAGACGAAGAGGTTTCTTCCGGTAACTGTTGCCGGTAGAGTTAGACAGTTAGAGTCTTGTATTAGTATTTACTAGTTTTTTGGCCCGCGCTCTGCCGCGGTAAGAAACTAATGATTTATTTGAAATCAAATCATTCACAAAATTATTCGATTAAGATACCTACCTAAATTTCACGTATTGTATTAATCATTGCGAATAACATATGCCATTTGTTTGTGTACGTGATACATAATATATAACTATCCTTACATACGGTTTACGTAGTGTTTCATTATTATGGAAGACTTGCATAATATTTTGTTAATTGATACATACAAAATGATAATATGTTCAAAAACTTTACATAATGTGTTAATTGGTAAGAAAGACTCATGTAATATCTTTGCTTACATAATAGCTATCACTTTATAAATTTCACTTCATCTAGTGTCTATAAATTTTAAAAATGAATTTTTATTTTATTTAATCGTTATAGAATGTTGTTGATATAGAATTTTTATATATAAATCTTTTATAATATGTGGTCTAATAATAAAATCAAGTTATAGAAAGTAACGTTTTATTGAATTTGTAATCTATATAACTGTTATAGATGTTGTTACATAAATCTTTCAACATGTCACTATAGCAGAAAATTAGAAAACTATCCAAATCATTAATATACGACTTTGACACAAGTACTTATAAGTAATAACTGACTACCATAGTCTTGTTAAAAGAAAGAAAAAAGTAAAGCGAGAATTGCAAGGAAAGAAATTAAAGTTTGGTTTGGGTGACCACTCGATTACATTTCAACTCATTTTCTAAATTACCCTTCTTTTCAGTGACATGTTAAAATGTGATCTCTCTAGTGTTTATATATAAAAAACTTCTCTTTGTGTGGCAGGTATGGTATAGATATGACTTATAAATATGGGTCCGGGAGGCTATAACAATACTTGCCCTCATAAACCAGCCTCATACTCAGTCAATGCGGGAATTCGCTGCGTTGACTGGACTGGGAGCGGTCGGGTACCCATGATTGTGGTTTTGATTTGCATCCCCAGTGTAATTGATAAATAATAAATAATTACTTTTTGTAACCTTTATGTAGTATCATAAAAATTTCAAAAGAATTCTTTTGGTGAATAGAATGCTAAAGAGCATCCTTGCCACTGCGGAAGACTAACATAAAATATTTTTTAACTAATATATAAGAAATAACTATATCTCTATAGGTTTTACGTAATTTATTTATAAAATTTCAACTAAATATTTATTTATTTGTAATTTATGTAATTTTTATATAATGATGTTATTTAATGTGTGGTTTAATAATAAAATCAAGTTGAAAAAAGTATCGCATTTGTAAATTAACTTACCTTCCATTTGATTAAATTATCATGTAGAAATAGTTTACCTTTCAAAAATTTTATGCAATGCAAATTGATGTAATGATCAATAATAGTAAAAGAATTTTTCGTTCAAACTTATATTAATTCACAAATTTTTTATAGAATGGTATTACGTAAATGTTATGTAATGTGTGGTTTAATAATAAAACCAAGTTATGAAAAGTATCGCATCTTATTGTTATATAAAAGATAACAAACTTTATGTAGTGTTTTAATTATTAGGAATATTCGAAAAATGGACTTTGACTCTGTGCTGGTATGGACTGATGCTTATGATAATAGTAGATATAATAAAAAAATGCAGCAAGAAGTATAAAAAAATGAGGAATTTTGGCGTTCTAGGAGGTTTGGAAGTTGGGGTGGGTGTTGCCGTATGGAATAATGTCCTTAGTGAACAATGATAATGGGGAGATTTTTTCGTAATGAACAGTGCACTAAACTTGCACTTTTAATTAATTGACGAGTCACTTACTTTTATATTTAAAATTATCAGGGTTTTCTAAGTTTTTATGTTCTTGTAAGTTAATCTTCAAGAAAATATTTGTAGTTATTTCCATACAATTTCAATGTACCCATTGACTAAGTATAAGCTAATTTATCAACCAAACTCTTAACATTTACTTAATAAATTTTAATCCTTAAACTGAGCAATATACAAAACTGGAGTTACGATAAACAACGACGTGGAATCGGATGACAGATCGGAGATCATTTGAGCTGTGTACGAGTCGTCCAAAGTGGTTATCTGGCCACAGATTTTGACTTTTGTAGAAAGTAACTGTTTCCTTGTTTGTGTAGGATTTTGTTTCTTATTTTGTAAGATTCCTAGATAGTATTTACCTTATTCTATTAGGATTATTATTATTATTATGGGTGTGTTTGTTTCCCCTACTTTCTTCCTTAAAAGTTTCCTAAAATTTAAGTTTAAGTCAAAACAAACACACTTTTTCATATTATCCTAAAGTTTTAGAAAAAACTACTATTCATTATAAAACCTACAAATTAATTAAATAAAAAATCCATCTCACCAAAAACATTTAACTTTACAACTTTACCCCTTCAACAAAAAAAAGAAGCTAATACCACTACAACACCCGAACTATGACAAAAATGCTACTTGTGTCCTATTCTTTTCAATATTCCATTTATGTCCTGAACTATTATTCCGTTAATGTTGACCAGCGTTGACTGTTAGTATTTAACAGAAAATTCAGTCAGCGTTGACGTGGCATCTGATGTGTTATTTTTAAATAATTAAATAACAATTAAAAAAAGCAAAAAATTAAAAATTCCTAATCTATCTTCCCAATCTCAATCCCGAGCTTGCTCCGCCTCTTCCTCTTACCGACACAATCCGCCACCACAGCAATCATCCCTCTGATACACTAGTTTGACCCAATCCGCCTCTTCCACTTACCTGAACCAATCCGCCGCAACCAGTTTTGCCTTCGCCTCCCCCACCACGAATAACCCTCCCGTCCGATACACTACCATCCACCACCAGTTCGTCATCGCTCCGCCACCACCCAGAACCTCCTTCGAGCAATCCTCCCTTTCCTTCTCCATCACCACTGTTTCGCCTCCTCCACCAATCCGTCTCCATCTTAGATCTGTCTCTCCCCAATCCCCATCCTTCCCCCGATTTAGAGATTCAGCAAAGCCATCGTTCAGCCGAGAAGACTCGCGGAACTTTATCGGTGGAGGCGGGTTTCTTATTTCAATTGGAGCGAATCAATCTTTCTCCTTCCTCCTCCGACATCGGTTCTCTTTCGTCGCAAAATCGAATCCATGAGAATCAAGATCTATCACCAGATCTGGGTTGAGACCCCACTCCGCCGCGTCGCCACTGTGAGAAGTCGCTGCCTCATCGAATTCGTCAACATCAATCTTGCTAGCGAGCCTTGAGGCCGGGCCAAAACTTGACCTCATATACATCATCGTCAATGGCACCTTCATAGTGGCGGCTGGTGATGTTCGTCTTGGATCCGGAACAAGGAGGTCTGGTGGCGTCGATTTGGGGACAAAGAACGGAGAGGCCAGGGTTTGGGTTTTTGTTGGCGAATGGTCGGGGACAAAGAACGGAGAGGCTAGTGGAATTTTTTAATTTTGAGATTATTTTTATAAATTTCAATTATTATTTAATTAAAATATGACGTGGCTGCCACGTTGCTGCCACATCGACCCCAATCTGATGTCATTTTCAAAACCGTCTGGTCAACCGTTAAATCTAACGGTCAACAAAATCGCTAGGATACAAATGACACAAAGTATCATAGTTTAGGACAAAAATGGAATATTGAAAAGAATAGGACACAAGTGACATTTTTGTCATAGTTCGGGTGTTGTAGTGGTATTAGCTCAAAAAAATATTCCTAAAGTTATACCCATAATAGTCATTTCACAAAATTCACTTATTACTTTATTATTAAACACACTATTCACCATCCCATCAACTACCAATCTATTAATAAACAAATACAAACTTTCTATCAAATTTACTTTTTTCAAACCTTTACCAAACATACTTTTCCTACAATTTTAGAAAAAGTTCCTAAAATTTTAGAAAAAGTACAAACAAACACACCCTAGGTTTCTTTTAGGCAAAATACACTTTCATAGACATAACTTTCGCGTTTGTGACAATAATAGCCACTTTTGGAAAAATACCAAATATAACCACTTCCGTCCAATACTTTAACGGTGTCGTCTAACAGTCTGATTGGACTAACAACAACCATTGACGTGGCATATTTTATTCAATTTTAATGCCAGGTGGAAAATCATTAAATTTTATCCTTTAAGTTTTAAGTAAATTAAATATAAAAAATACAAACTATAATCTCAGTATGAATACAAAAACCCCTTACCACGTGGATGAGAAAAAAAATAAAAAAATGATCATACATTAACTAATGAATTTTTTCAGGATCAATCTATGCGTCCCCTTCTCTCTCTTCCAAAATCACCTCCCTCACCCGTGCCCCCAAGTCTCAATCCCTACCGCAAACCACTCTTGCCGACACTACAGCCCACAATCACTCAAATGCGCCAGAGCTCCGAGAAATCCAAAACTCTCACCCACGACGGAGTTCCCGGCCAGCAGATGGATCTAAACATCTACTCTGATGATAAGCTTACCGGACTGGATGGGGAATCACACTGCAGCTTGGCGGTGTTCACAGGAGACGAGAGCAGGGGAAGATCAGGGGCCCGTGATCGGGTTGAGGAAGAGTTTCAGCATCGTTACTGCCGACTGCGGAATCGGCGACAAGGGCGAAAAAGCAAGAAGCTAGCATTTGTGGCGGTGTCGGCTTCTAATTCTTCTTCTCTCCTCCACTGCGACGACTTCGTTCAATCCGCCATCAGCCGGGCCTTCAATACATGAATCGAAACCCAGAACCAGGGTTCCCAGCGGCGCTTCGTTCGAGCTTTGAGGAATGACTGGATTCCAGCCGTTTCAAGATCGGGAACGAAACAATCAGGTGCAGATCTAGTATCCGCAGAAGCCACACATCAAAGTCGCCTGACCAAAAATGGAAGCGTGCCAAGACTACTTTCTCCTCTCAATTTCGTCTAATCGTGGCAGTGAAGCATAGAGGCAGAGTAAGGGTAGCAGGTGTGGCGGCGACACTGCTTTTCGGTAGATTTGGAAAAGTGGAGAAGAGGAATGCAGTTCGCAGTGGACGGAAGCAGCAACGTCGGTGGATTGCGGTCGGTGAACTCCACCTCTCTATATCCAGTTGTTGGCGTCTGCTATTGGAGAGCAGCATACCGACAACAGACTAGCAGATCTAAACAAATCTGTTATGGGGCGGAAATCCCGAATCCCTCGCCGGCCCGAGTCTTCCTGATCTCTGCTTCTATTCCCCCCTCGTTTGTTAGAGACATGGGATCAACCTAATATGCAAGTTTTTCCTTCAATCGATCTGGATTCAGAGCACCAAATAGTTCAAGAGTTGGTGAAAGTGCACGAAGATGAAGACAAGAATCAAGATGATGATGATGCGGGTTGAAGCTGGCGATGATTGTGTGGCAGGAAGTCTTCAATTATGAAGGGGATTTGAGGAAAAATCGATTTTTGTTTTGATTTTGGAAGCTTCAAAACCAGCGAGATTTGTAAAAGGATTGCCAGATTTTTTTAATTCAATTTTGTGATTAAATAAAAATAAAAAAAAATTCATTTCAATTTTTAATTAAAATAACACGTGGCGTCTAGGTGTCATCAACGGATGAGTTGTCGCTGACGTGTGTGATGATTTGGCATCCTAGTCAGCCTAATATTAACCTAACTCACGGAGTTTCTAACCCCGTCAAAGTTTGTAACGGAAATGGCTATATTTGTCATGAAACTTTCAAAATTCTGGTTATAAGTGGTATTTCTCTAAAATTGGTATTATTGTCACAAACGCGAAAGTTTTGGCTATACAAGTGTATTTTGCCTTTATTTTAGCCTATTTAAAGGCTATTGTACGTATAAGATAAAGTAGAGAATAATTTTGAGAAAACCCCTAATTTTGCAAATTTCACGTGTGTTGAATTTTGTTGCTGAGAGTTTGGTGGATTACGAACTCGAATTGTCTCTTATCAGTCAAGGAATGCGCTTGATTGTGGCGAGTATCTACCCTTTAATCGTGGAGCCTCTTCCCAGGTGTGAAGTTGTCCTTCGATTCCCGTTTTCGACGAGTTTTCAACGCGGTGGAAAGCTTGTTTTGTTCCCAGAAGTCACAATGACCTGTTATTTGTCACGATGAGAGCATAACCTGTTATCTGTCTGGACGAGAATAACCTGTGTTTGGTCGTATTAACTTTACGGGAATTGCCAATCTTTAAAACTGCCAAATGCCTTAGCCAATTTCCTACGCAGTTTCTATGATTTCATATTAAATTTATGAACTTCGTTCGACCATCCCGAAACTCGTTTTCCTTCAAAACAAGCATGGTCGTCAATATTCAACACCTGTACCGGACCATCAAATTTACACCCCCTAAAAACGAAACAGAGGGTAAAAGAAATGTGAGGACCATGTACCGGACCTTCAATGCATTTGGTCCGATTCGGTCTGCTCCAAAAATCAATTGCGTCCATCTTTTCTTCAGTAATCATAAAATTCATTGGACCAAGGACCGAACCTTATTATATTCGGTCCTAGTACAGTATCGTAGTCCAGGGAAGTGAGAATAACCTGTTATTTGTCACGATGAGAGCATAACATGTGTATATGTCTGGATGTGAATAATAGGTTAGTCTCATCCAAAGGATAACAGGTTATTCTCCCATCATAACATGTTAATCTTATCTAGATAGTTTCGGTCGAGTTAAACAACAAAACGACTTCCAAGCCAACCATACATAACATAACCCACAGTTTTCCGACGGTCTTCAACAACAATGTATCAACAGGAAACAAGTTAGTGTCAGTTTTCAAAAAACAACAACACTATCATCTTTCCTAATTCCCCGTTCCTGAAACCCCTTACACCACTGTGAACATGTTTGATTCCTTCCCCAGTCGGCTTACAACAAACTTCCAAACCATAACCTCTTTTCTCAGAATTTCAGAAGCATTCTCCGCTCTTTGCGGTGACATCCCACATTCTAAATGCAGTGAATTTCGAAATACATAGTGACATATAGTTGATTCAATTTATAATCAACAATTATTGTATATTGCAAATTCTCCACATTGATTGATTATGTGTTGCAGTCAAATAAAAAAAGATACAAAATAAGAAAATAACAGTCGAAAGGAAGATATATACATGACAAAATATGACATTAGTAACAATTTTACATTATCATCTTTATTAATCAAGACACCTATAATTCAATGGTTAGTACAATGTGAATAAACAATATAAGAGATAAATTACTAAAATACTAACTATCAAACTTTACAAAAGTCCCTAAAAATTTATAAGCATAATTATTAATATTAACTATTAACTACTAAACGGTAAAAAGAATAAGTTTTAAAGTGTGAGGGTGGTTTTTGTGGTTATTTGTGGTTTAATCACCGTGGTTAGTGGTTAACCACTAACCACAAAACTCAAAATTTCACTAACCACTAACCACAAAGTGTGGTTGTGGTTAACCAAACCGTGTGTGGTACGATAACTTCCACACCTACCAGCAACTACTCGTCGTCATGCTTTCTCGAATTCGCACAAGAACCAAAAAATAAAAAAAACTAATAAGGAATACTACTAAAACAAGGTAAAAATCCTAATTAAACATGGAAACCTTAGCTTTCCTACTGTTTTTTCCGGGATTTTCCAGCTCCTTCACCGTGCGTACAGTTTAAACCTCTTTTGGCTGCTAACCCCAGCTCTTGCGGCTCCTCCTAAACCGAGGACGAATTCAACAGAGAGTGGGAGTAACACTAATAGTCGCAGAACAACCAATGTTTTGGGTGCTTTTGGTGCATCTTGCTCCGCTAGAGCTAGCCATTCAACTGCAATGGAAGCCGAGCAGTTGGCTGGCCTTCTGGCCCTGTATTTTACTCAGAAGTCTATGCATAAGTCTATTTCAATGGACATTTAGTTCAAATTTTAACCAAGAGTCTATGCATAAAGCTACTGAGAAAAAAGTTAAACAGAAGGGGAAAAAGGATCCATACCAGTGCTGTCATAACCGAACCGAGAAAACCGCCGACCGGATCCAAAGCTCGATAGGCGCCAGAACCGACGAACCAATGGTCCAGTCAGAAAACTGCTGCTGCGCAAAATGATCTCCGAAGTGGAAGGGTTGGGATTTGAACCTTCATCCTTCATGAAACGATGAAGGCATCACTACCACTTGCAGTGGCGGACCTAAGGCATGCCAGGGTGTGTCGTCCGACACACCCTCGCTCGAGAATTTTACGAAGGACCTACATATTTTTTGTACAAAATTTTTTATTTTGGGATAGCCGACACACCCTCAATAATTATAGCCGACACACCTTCATTATACTCGAAGAAATTATTATCCAAATGAATCAATTTTAATCATAATCCTTTTTAATTTTGTTTAAAATAACTCATAAAGCATAATCCTATCCTTCCTATTAAAAAAACACTCTTAGCCCATACAATATACATTACTATCAAGTCGATTTATTCTATGCAGTTATAGATTTGCAGCTGCAAGAATTGAATACTCGATTTGGTGAGGTGAACACTCGATTGTTGGACTGCATTTCTTGTTTTAGTCCAGCTAAATCTTTTGCTTCTTTTGATAAAGCAAAGTTGATAAGTCTTACTGAGTTTTATCCCGAGGAGTTTCCATCCAATGTGCTCTGACGACTTCATCAACAATTGGGGGGCTACATTTCTCATGTCAAGGAGGATAAGAGCTTTGATGGATTTCCAGGAATCGACGAGCTAGCTAGGAAATTGGTGGAAAGGGGAAAGGACACTCTTTATCCTTTAGTTTTACTTGCTCTTAAAGTTGGTGTTGACCTTACCTGTGGCAACTGCAAGCTGCGAAAGAGCATTTTCGGCTATGAAGATAATCAAGAACGATCTTCGAAATCGGTTGAGTGACCAATTTATGAATGATTGTTTAGTTGTGTATATTGAAAAAGATTTGCTTTGCAGTGTATTTTAGAGACATTTCAGCAGATGAAAAGTCGTCGTGGCTCGTTGTAAACATGACATTATGAACTTTATGAATTAATTGCTTTTAATTTTAACTTAATTTTTTATTTTATCATTATTTTATTTTATCGGCGACACACCTCTCCGACAATCCTGGGTCCGCCACTGACCACTTGCACTACAAACCATTGTGTTAATAACATGAATACTTATTGTTGAATTCTAATAGGCCTGTCCACAGTCTAACTTACAAAATTAACAACATTGCCCACAGTCAATAATGAACAAGGTTGTCAACCCGCGGGTTGACCCGGACCCGGTCGAGCTAATGGGTGAAGGGTTAATGGGTCAACCGTTTTAGCCTGGTTTGGCCCGGAAATATAGTAAAAATCATTATATTGTACTTATCCTCATAAATTATATCAAATCTTGTCTAGCATATGACTTATAACATATAATATTGCACCAAAATAACATATCGTACTTAGATCCAACATATAGTGAAAATTCACACACACTTATATAACATAAATATTCAAATGTTCAACTTAGGATTCCAAAGATTGAGTTAGGCGAAAAGAAAAATCGGAAAATAGGCGCATTTCGCAAACCAAAGAAAAAAATGACACAATTTGACATCCAACCCGGTACTTTGTAGCGGTCGACCCGATGGGTGCGTATGATCCGTTTTTCTCACCGGGTCAGAGTCAAAGTGGGTCGACCCGCCCGTGGGTTGTAATGAGAGAAGCCCATAACAGCAAGCCCAATTTGAAGAGAACGAAATTAAAAAAACACACAAATAATCGTGATTTTCAACTTTTGTTTCTGGTTTTTCTGCTATTTGGAGAGACACGCTAGTTCCCCATTGGCTTTCCATCCAATCACGTCAGTTCCCTTGGTTTTAGGCGATTCAAATGTTTCTTCCTTTTCTACAAACGCTTTTTCTTCTTTCTCTTTCGCTTCGCTTCCTTTCTTCTGTTGCGGCAAAGAGACTTTCCAATCAGTTGTCGACTCTGAGGTAAAGCTAAGATCGATCTCCACTTCTCAGTGTCTTCATAGTAATTCATTTTTCCTTGGAAAGTTCTCTTTTTCTAATTCGGGTTAGGGTTTTTTGCTCGATGTTGGTACCAGGCGCTCACTATGGACTCTTGGCATTCTCGTGCTTCCGATCTTTGTGAAGCGGCAGAGACAACTCTGCCTTCCTCTGCCGACGTTGCTGATCAATCTTCAACCATGGTGACAGCTGATTCTCGTGCTTCCTCTTGGATTTTCTTCTTGCTCGAATTTAGGTCAAAATCATGCCAAGAAAATAGTGGCTCGAGTTTTTTTTTTTTTTTTGTGTAATCGAGATTGAGTGGCAATGATATTAGAGGACCACGGAACAACGTGGCCCTGATATAGTTTACCAGCTTCCACAAACACCTATCAGGCTAAGGGTGAGCAAGGAAGTCACAACAGTAAGAAACTGACTTCAACCGAGATTCTATGGTCTGGAATCGTCAAAGAAATTTAGTAATGCTAGATGATGTATCAAGAGGACTCGAGAACACAGTGGTCTTGATATAGTTTACCAGCTTCTACAAACACCTATCATGCTATGGGTAAGCTACTAAGTCGCAGTAAGAACTTACTTCAACCAAGAATCTATGGTCTGAAACCGTCAAAGAAATCTAGTTTATGCAGTTAAAACTACATGCTTGTTCTCTAGTGTCTTGATGCGGGTTTGTGATGGACTAGTAAGTTCAAGAGATACTTTTTTCTTATTTGTATATTCTAGTTTGTGTGCTCAATATAGTTCTAGTTTGCATTTCATGCTTACTGCCACAGTTATCTGTCTTGGACTCTGTCATCTTCTGCTTCCTCCTTGAACTCTTTGTATATACTTACTAGCGTTTCTTTGCTGAGTAGTTATGTTGCTGCTACTTGTTGAGCTATTAACGCCCTACATGTTGCAGGAGCACTTGTTGAAGATGACATTGCCGGATGGAAGTGAAGGGTTGTCATTGCTGATGGGGAAGTGGAGGAGGTTGATCAGCGGGGTGGCAGAGGAGGAGGTGATGAGGAGGACGGAGGCGACGAGGTTGGAGTGGCGCTGGGTGAGTAGCTTGCTGAGCTCCACCATTGAGCCGAGCTATCAACAACGATGGTGGATACTGAATTCACCACCACTGTCGCGGGTCTTCACTGCCGGCAAAATGGAGCTATCTGAAGACTACTCCTGCATCATCTCCCGCGGTCCTGTTCCCATAATCACTCGCATCTTCGACGATGCAATCGTCGACACCTGCTACGGCGTCTTCAACTACTGCGAGCTTCTTAAGCTACAGGTTAGTTAGTCGGTTTCTTCCTTCTTCCTTTGTACCAAGAGACTATACATGTACAACAACAATGGATTATGTAATTTCTGAAGCCCAAAGTAGAAGCATAAAATGTCATAAGTGATAACCTGGTTGAGAGATATAACTATGTTTTGAATTTTTTGCACTTAAAAGTAGAACTTCTGGAGGTCGCAGTAGATAATGGCTGACTCGCCTTTGGAGGTGAAGTCAAATGGGTCCTCATTGGATTACAATGGTTTTGCAGGGGAAAGAAAGCGTTCTGCAGCAGGGAATGCACGAGCCTCCTCCTCACCGTTACCACTGGGGGAATTAAGTGAAATGGTCCAATTTATATGTTAGCAGAGAAAATATTTTAGCAAAAAAAAAGTGATTCTAAAGGGCGATCGTTCTGACTCAGTAGGCATATCCTCTGAGACTGTCTTAATATGTTAAGATTTGTTATCTCAAAGCCAGTTTGTTCTAAACCAGTTCACTCTCTGAAAGACTCGAGATGCTAAGATTTGTTATCTAACAGTACTCTTCACTCCTTGATTATGCAGATTTAGAAGTTAGGATGGGCTGTTGCTTCAAAGCAAAAGCTAAGACCCTTTGCAATTGCTTAACATTAAAATACTCGTTTGAACGTGTTTTCACCCCGCTTTGCTGTGTTTGCATCTTGCTTAGCTATTTTTTCATCCGTTTTGGCCTGTTTTTCTCCTTCGTTGTGACATCAGCACTATCAGCAGGGGGGATAACGGGAGGAAGCAGGGCTTCTTCTTCTCCATTCTTTTCTTCATCTTCATTGGTTTCTTTTTCTGTAGCTGTTTGGTCTTCAGCATTTGCTGAACTGAGGAACTCCCGAACAGTTTTCAAGGAGTCATCATATGCATTAAGTGCTTCAAGACAGATATCATGGGTTTTCATTAGCTGCTCTCTAGAACGATGGCCTGCAAAACATGTTACTATTTATTGCTCCAAGTAACTTGTCAAAAACCAACAAGAGGGGGGGGGGGGGGGGGGGGGGGGGGGGGGGGGGGGGGGGGGGAAGATTACCCTTCACGTCCCTTAATTTCAGAAATCAAGATTACCCCTTCATGGTATTGGAATTGTGATATGCTTCTTCCCCAGACTAGCAGAATCAACTTCTATATCAGCATTAACATTGTCACATGTTGTAGATAGTCCTTAATGTCAAGACCCTTACGGTTTGTGGATGACTATAACCTGTATTGTCGTCGCAGAGATAACCTGTGATAGGCGTGGAAGAAAAAACCTGTTATTGTTGTCGATGAGATAACCTCTTATAGGTGTGGATGACAATAACCTGTTATTGGCGTTGCAGAGATTACCTGTTATTGGTGTCGATGAAAATAACCAGTTATTTGTCTTTAAACACGTTGGCTTTATGAGGGGAAATATTTATATACTGTATATAAAATGTAGGACTTGTCTAATACGCACCCCAGTTTTTGGACGCGTCGTATGTGCCACTTGTTAATATACGTAGATCGTACGCGGAGTAATTATGACCGTTAATTTAATTTTTTTATTTAAAATAATAATTACAATTTATTAATACCCAAAATTTAAACAATTTCCATTTAGTCCCCAACATAACTCTGTTACATGTAGGCATTAGGACTCCCTCTCCACCGGCAACCTTCCAGATTTGTAAGTTTACAAATCCATTTTGTAAAGCTACAAATTACAAATTCTTAACAAATTTTTTTAACTTTTTACAAATATCACCTCATCCGACCCTCCCGTCGGCAAACCAATAAGATTTGTAACTTTACAAACTTTATTTGTAAATTTACAAATTACAAAGTTATAACAAAATTTCGCAGCTAAAAAATATCACCTCGTCTGGCCCTCCCGCCAGCAGCCTCTACGATTTGTAACTTTACAAATCCTATTTGTAAAGTTACAAATCACAAATGTTTAACAAAATTTCTTAACTTCTTGACATCACACCAACCCTCCTGCCGACAAGCTCGACGTTTGTAACTGTTAGAATATGACTTGAATTTGATTTAGCTTTGTTTTGTGTTTGGGCCTATTTAGTTTGGGTTTGTGTTTGGGCTTTGTTTGACCTTTTCGTTGTATGTTTGGGAAAATGTGTTTGGTTTTCTGTTTGAGATTAGGAGAAGAGTTCTATAAATACTCTTCATCACCCTAGTCTGTAGTAAGGTCAGTCAAGTTAGTTTGTTTGGTTTGTCCGTTTGGAATTTGGTTTGTAACCTGTACTCTCCTCAAATTAGTGAAATTTGTTCTCCCCTGCCCGTGGATTAGCTAGCACACATTGTGTTAGTAAACCACGTTAAATTTGTGTTCGTTTGTGTTGGTTTGGATTGTCGTTTGCACGCTTCTGTTCTGACAAGTGGTATCAGAGCCTTTGGTTGCGGTTTTGGGAATTAGGCGCTGGACTGAAGTTTTGCTTTGTGGAGGTAGCTTTCAATTCTTCAGCTTGGTTCGGTGGAGGAATCGCTTTGAAGTTGACTTTGGGTAGTTGTGTTTTGGTCTCGATTTTTTGGTGAGAAGTTTGGTTGGAGTTTGTTTGATAGTAAGAATGGCTGCTATCAGTATGAAGATTGAGAAGTTTACCGGAAGAAACAGTTTCAGTTTGTGGCATATCAAGATGCAAGCACTGTTGAAACAACAGGGTTTGTTGGCTCCGTTGTCTGAAAAATCGAAGAAGAAAAGCGTAGATGAAGAAGAGTGGATTACTTTGGAGGAGAAAGCTCACTCAACAATCTTGCTTTGTTTGGCTGATGACATCATCACTGAGGTTGCTGCTGAGAAGACTGTTGCAGGTTTGTGGTTGAAGCTTGAAAGTCTATACATGACAAAGTCTTTAACCAACAAGTTGCATATGAAGCAACGTTTGTTCAGTTTGCGTATGGAGGAAGGTACGTCTCTCAGGAATCATCTAGATCAACTCAATACTATCTTGCTAGATCTGTGGAATATTGATGTTAAAATAGATGATGAGGATGCTGCCTTAATTCTGTTAGTATCTTTGCCACATTCATATGAGAATTTTGTGGATTCTTTTATTGCTGGGAAAGATAGTTTGTCTTTGGAAGATGTCAGATCTGCTCTACATCCTAGAGAGGTTCGACATAAGGCATCTGGTTCAGTTTCAGAAAATCAAGCATCTGGGTTGGCTGCTACTAGTAGTAGGAGACAACAATCTGGTAATAGGAAGGCGAATACAAATTCGAATTCTGCTGGTTTGAAGGATGATATCTGTCATTACTGCAAGGAGAAAGGACATTGGAAATTTGATTGTCCTAAACTGAAGAAATATCAGGAGAAGAAGGAATCATCTGCTGCTATGGCGGAAGAAACTAACTCTGATTCTGAAGATGGTTTAGCCTTAGCAGTGAATGAACAGGTACATCATCAGGATGTGTGGTATTTAGATACTGCAGCTGATTATCATATGTGTCCAAGCAGGGAGTGATTTTCAACTTATGAGCAGATAGATGGAGAACATGTTTCTATGGCCAATGGTGCTATCTGTAAGATTGTTGGAAGAGGCTCCGTCAGGATGAGGACACATGATGGTTCTTTTCGCACCTTGAACAATGTTAGGCATATTCCAGAAATGACTAAGAATCTGATATCTTTGAGTCTACTTGACAGCAAGGGTTTCAGCTTCAAAGGTGAAGGTGGAGTGTTGTCTGTCTACAAGGGTTCTAAGGTGATTTTGAAAGGTGTTAAGCGGGGTGCCTTGTATAGTCCACAAGGTTCTGTTTTGACATGTTCTGTTGGTGATAAGTTCAGCAAGTTGGTTCTGAATGGCAAGTCTCAATATGGATTGGACTTGCCGAATGGTTTGAGTTGTTGACCGCCCTTAGTGTCATTTGGAGGCAGGGGAGATTCTGGTACAGCTGATTTGGAGAAGTTTGGTACGTCTGACAATTTTGATTGCAAGTGAGTTTGGCGATTTGCATCGCGTTTGGTCTGGCGATATGAATCGCATTTGGATATGTCTGGCAATCTTGATTGCGTTTGAGTTTGGCGTTTTCGATCGCATTTGGATACGTCTGGCGATATGTATCGCGTCTGGGTACATCTGGCAACTTTGGTTGCGTTTGGTACATCTGGCAACTTTGGTTGCGTCTGGTACATCTGGTATTTGAAAGAGAATTCAAGTCAAGGTGGAGATTGTTAGAATATGACTTGAATTTGATTTGGGTTTGTTTTGTGTTTGGGTCTATTTAGTTTGGGTTTGTGTTTGGGCTTTGTTTGACCTTTTTCTTGTATGTTTGGGAAAAGGTGTTTGGTTTTCTGTTTGAGATTAGGAGAAGAGTTCTATAAATACTCTTCATCACCCTAGTCTGTAGTAAGGTCAGTCAGGTTAGTTTGTTTGGTTTGTCCGTTTGGAATTTGGTTTGTAACCTGTACTCTCCTCAAATTAGTGAAATTTGTTCTCCCCTGCCCGTGGATTAGCTAGCACATATTGTGTTAGTAAACCACGTTAAATTTGTGTTCGTTTGTGTTGGTTTGGATTGTCGTTTGCACGCTTGTGTTCTGACAATAACTTTACAAATCTAATTTGTAAATTTACAAATTACAAATTTATAACAAAATTTATTAATTTAAGAATATCACCTCCCCGACCCTTCCTGCCAGCCAGCCCACGTTTGTAACTTTACGAATCCTGTGTGTAAAGTAACAAATTACAAACTTGTAACAAAATTTCTTATTTTTTTTTTTAATTATTACTCACCGGCATCCTAATTTATAACTGATTTGTAGTCCTTACAAGTCAAGCATAACAAAATATTCCTAAGTTTGTAACCAACATTAAAATTTTTGTAACTTATTAACATTAAGTCCAACCTTAATCAGTAACTTTCACAACCTATGCTACCGTATTTTGTGATTACATTAAAAATGTGTAACTCTTACAAATTATTAAGGACATTGTAGGGATGTGAATTGAATCGGCTCTGTGAGTACCCAATCATAACCCAATTTTATTATGTGCGGGTTTGGTGGGTTGGTCGTTTGGACAAAGCCGATCGGCACCCGGTGTCGTAAAACGATGTCATTTGTTTTTGTGTAACTATTTGTAAGCTGTTATAAACATTTCCAAGTTTAATTTGTAACGAACATAGAAACTTTTGTAACTTCTTCATATTATCACCCACCTTAGTTACTTTGACAACTTACCCTACTGCAACTTGTGGGCTAAATTGCAAGTTTGGTCACTTGAATCCTTAGTCGGTTTTCAAATCACTATTAAGATTCAGTGGGTCCCCTGGCCACGTGACCTCCTGGCTTCAGTTTACCGGAATTCATCTCCGGCGGCACACAAAAGTTCAGCTTCTTGTACCCATTTCCCACGACATTGACAATCCCCAGAGCATTTTCCTCCGGCGACACCAGCCCGCCATCCCTGAACTCAATCCGGCCGGTTAAACCAGTGAATTTGCTTTCCAATATGTTCTCCAACAATTTGATCTGGCTTGCCGTCTTCTTTTCTAGAGCTCGTCCTATCATTGAAATCCTGTCGTGAGCTTGCAGAGCGTGGAAGCTGGGCTCGGAGTAATGATCATCTGGGTAATTGAGCCTGAATTTCCTCCCGAATTGAGGTTTGAATTCACGAAACAAGGTGGAAGATTCTGTACGATGAGTTCTGATTCCTAGAGCTCCTTCGATGGAGTAGAGAACAGAGGGATCGACAGAGTCAAGATACTCTACCACTCTCGCCGTCAAAATCCACGTCGTGTCCATTCCGTTGAGTCCCAACTTCTTCGCTTCCGGGAACAAATCAACCGCCACGGGAAGGGAAGATAGAAGGACGATGAACACCCGAGATTGAACCGAATCGATAACCTTTATCAGCTCATATTGAACGACGGCGTTTGAAGATTTCGACGGCAGAAACAGAGGAAGTACTACTCGGTGCTCTATTTCAGTCCCGACTTCGTGCAATGCGTCGAAGAGAAGAGTCAACTCGCCGGAGGAATCGGTTCCGAACGCGTTCTCCCGATAAACGGCGACCACTCGCCTCCAATTGTACGAGGAGGCGTACATGAAGCGTTGTCGTGGGTGGTGGCGGGCTCGAGGTTGAGAGAACAGATCAAGATCTCGGTGGCGAGGAAAATCGGCCCGGCGTACCGGGGGTTTTACGAGCGGCATCGGTGGAGAGGAATGGTGTGGCGGTGGAAATTAAAAGAATTAGGATTTTCCTTTTTAATTTAAAATAATTAACTGGAAAATAAAAAATAATTATTTTTTAATTGCCACATCACTCATTTAACGGTCAACTATTTGAGTTAACCGTCACATCAACTATTTGAGTTAACCGTCACATCAACAAAAGTTAACAGAGACTAACAGCCAGTGACCAAACTTGGACTGTTAACCTAATTTAAGTGACTACGGATGGAATAAAGTAATTCTAGTGGCTAACGTGAATTTTACTAATAATTCAAGTGACCAAACTTGCAATTTAGCCACAACTTGTGATTACACAAAAAAAATTAGTGTAACTCTTAATGGTTTTGATAAACTTACAAATTATATGAAGATTTGGTAATTTTACTTTTTTAAGAATTGTATTGGAGTTGGAAACCTTTAGATGATTATTAATTTTAGGTTTTTAAATACAAAATATCTTCTAATTTTTAAGTGCTTAAAGGAAAAAAAAAATAAAGAAGGATAATTAATTCTAGAGTAAAAGCAAGAGTACACCTCCACCATAGGTAGAATTACCCTTCCTTTTTTTTTTCTTCAAAACCATACAAATTAAGATAAGTATGTCTTTAATTAAAAATCTATTTCGTAATCACCATGATTTCTTCTTTCTCCGTTATTTTTTGGTAGAAACCTTTCTCGGTTCTAACCCCAACAAAATTCTTAAAAAGTAAGTTACAAATGTTCGTATGATGTGCAAGTTTTACAAAAACTTTTTTTACGAAAGATATTCATATATATAAAATGAACAAAAAGATAATTACATTCTGGAGCATAGCCAGGTCTGAAAATCAAACAAACGACTCGCAGTCGGAAACAATGAAAGGGCCTTTCTAGCCACCAAATGGGCTACCCTATTGTTATAGTGACCTACAAATCGAACACTAAAACCCGGATGCAAGGCAAAACACAAAACCACCTCTTCCAAAACCGCACCCATCCGAGTATCTCCAATCTCCGCACGATTGATCTTATCTATGACCACCTTGGCGTCCCCTTCAAAACAAACCTCCGAGACCCCATTCGCAAGACACCAACATAAAGCCTTGCGCAAGGCCAGCACTTCCACCACTATAGGGTCATCAATGCACTGGAATTGGAACCCTCGAGCCACCAAAATATCTCTAGAAGGAGTCATCACCACTACTCCTCCCTCCGAGTGTGATCCCTGCCTCGTCGCTCCATCCCACATGAAAATAACCTGGCTACCAGTCCCTGTGTTAGAAGAAGGGGGCCCAGGAGCATAAACGGGGTTTCCCCGCTCAACCGGCACCCGCAACCACTCATCAACCTGCTGATTTAACTGTCGCAGCAAGGCCGGGATCCCGAATTGTTTGCCTTCAAAAACAACCCAATTTCAAGAGCGCCAGATCCTCCAAAGTACAGCAATCACAGTCATAACCAGCTCCGGTTGGCGAATGAGAGCCAACACGCGCTTAAGAAAGAGCGGGAAAGTATGGCGAGGCAACTCCTGACCCAGATATTCAAGCCCAGAGTAATCCCAAAGCGCCCGAGCCACCGGGCAATCCAGAAACAAATGCTCCATGGTTTCCTCTGCATCCCAACAGACCGGACATCTAAGGTGGACGAACACATCTTTATTCCGCAGTGCCTCAGTCGTGGGGAGAATCCGATTAAAAATTTGCCAGACAAACACCTTAAGTTTGGGTGGTATGTTGGCATCCCATAATCGGATCCAGCTTGGTCTATCCATCCAACTAACCGTAGCTTTACAACGTGCTTCTGCTGATCCAACCTAACCGCAAGGTGGTATGCCAACTTTACCGTAAAACCCCCATCAGCTGTGTCATTCCACACAAGACGATCATTTACGCTTTGCTGCGGGAGCGGAATACTCTTTATGGCACGACGGGTAGGGGGGTCAAACCACTGCCTGAGCATTGACTCATTCCACCGCCCTTCCCCAGGACAGAGCACTGCCTCCACCCGAAGGTCTCCCTCATCCGGAAGCACCAAGGGGTTACCGATCTGCCACCGTAACCCTTGCTCCAGCAATTGCTTGCCATACAGAATACTCTGCCAGCCCCAGGATGGCCGGGACCGAGCAGTAGCCGTTAGGAACGACCCTGAGGGGAAATACTTTCCTTAATAGACTTGAGCTAAAAGGGATAGGGGTTCAGTAATGATCTGCCACCCAATCTTGGCTAGCAGGGCTTGATTGAATAGTTCAAAACGTCGGAACCCCATGCCCCCATCATGTTTGCTTCGGCACATATTTCTCCACGATAACCACCGAATTTTAGGTTGGCCCTCCACCACATTCCACCAAAACCTAGCCACATGTTTATCCAACAGTCTACACAGGGAAAGAGGAAGTTTGAAACAGGACATGACATGTAACGAGAGCGCCAAGGCTACGGATTTGATCAGAACCTCCTTAGCCGCCCAAGACAAAGTCATTTGCTTCCACCCTTGTAGGCGCTCTATGAGCTTTTCTTCGAGGTACCGAAAAGTATCCATTTTAGACCGGGCTATCAACGTAGGTAGCCCCAGGTATTTATCATGGACGCCAACAGCCCCCACCTCCAATATCTGGGCCAAGAACTCCTTATCAGACATTGCAATGTTTTTGCTAAAGCACACCGCGGATTTGTCTAAGTTAACCCTCTGGCCACTTAGTTTCTCATATTCATTCAACACTTCAATCAGATTCTCACATTCCTACAGAGAACCACAGAGGAATAGATATGAATCGTCTGCAAAAAACAGGTGTGTGATTCGAGGTGCCCGAGGAGCCACTTTAACCCCCTTGAAGTTTATGTTCCGAAATTGCCTTATTTAGGAGTGTCGCGAAGCCCTCTGTGCAAAGCACAAAACGAAGAGGAGAGAGAGGATCTCCCTGCCGCAGACCCCTAGATGGGGTAAAGTAGCCCGCTGGCGTGCCATTCATCATAACTGAGAATGAAGTGGATTTGAGGCACTCCAGAATCCATCCTTGCCAAGTTGAACTAAATCCCATCTTCTCCAAAACTGCAAGGAGAAATGGCCAGTCGACTATACCATAGGCCTTTTCCATGTCAACCTTCAGAGCCATGTACCCTTTCTTGCCTTTCGTTTTGATTTTCAGATAATGCATTAGTTCGTGCCCGAGGAGAATGTTTTCCACTATTTGACTTTCCCTGATAAAAGCGTTTTGGCCCCAGGAGATAACCTGTGGGAGGAGACTAGCCAACCTCTCAGCCATAAGCTTTTATAAATCTTGTACACAAACTGGCTGAGGTTTATCGGACGCAGCTGTTTCATGGTCTCCACATTATCTACTTTGGGAATCAACGTCAACCAGGTATGATTGAAGCTACGGAGCATCCTACTCGTCTGAAAGAACGAGCAGACCGCTTCAACCACCGAGGTGCCGAAAATATCCCAGTAGGCTTTGAAGAACTTGCCCGTGAACCCATCAGAACCCGGGGATTGTTTCGAACCCATAGAGAACACCACTTTCCGTACCTCCGTCGTGAGGCTAGCATTCATTTCAGGCGTAATACTCTGGGCAATGGGAAATCTTGCAACTCTATCCCTCATATTCCCAACCTGGGTCTCAGAGGTAATTAGGGTTTTGTAAAAACCACAAGGAATGTCCGCCTTCCCAGCCTCCTCCGTGAACCAGTCCCCATTATCATTGCGAAGGCCTTCCACAAAGTTTCTTTTTCTCCGAGTTCTTGTAACAGTATGGAAATAAGAAGTGTTCTTATCACCCTTTTTGAGCCAATGAACTCTAGACTTTTGTTGCCAATATATCTCCTCTGCCTCCCATTGTCTAGTCATCTCCAGCTCTAGAGTGCGAACTTCATCCCAGTCAATAGGATGTATCAGCTTAATCCTCTCAATTTTAGCTTGGAGCGTATGAATGTTACGCAGGGAGTTCGTAGTACCCGCCCTACTCCAATCATACAGAAGATGTCGGAGCTTCTTCAAACGTTCCCATAGCTGGAACATCGGCGACCCATAAATTTCTTCTTGCCAGACATAGTTCACCATCGCCCTTACCTCCGGATTCTCTGCCCATCGAGCATCAAATCGGAACAAAGGGCGAGAGTGTTGGGTGTATGGTTTATCAGCAAGAAGAATGGCTCGATGATCAGACCCTTGATCTGTGAAGTGCTTGACCAGCGTATCCGGGTACCGATCAATCCAATTATGAGAGCATAACGCCTGGTCCAGCCTTTCACGAATACAAGCCACGCCCATCCGCTTGTTGGTCCAGGTGAATTGATCCCTCTGGTACCCAGGGTCGTGGAGACCAAGGTCCTGAATGAAATCACGAAGGCTAAGAGCTTATGAAGAATTCCAGGCATTCCCCCCATCCTTTTCACTCTCATGAAAAGTAGTGTTAAAATCTCCTATGACCACGTAAGGGAGCCGGAATGTAGCAAAAATTTGTTGCAGCTGAGCTAGCTGAGTAGCTCTTATTGTGGAATTACAGCTAATGTAAACAGAAACCACCACATAAGAAAAATCACTTTAATTAATTTGGGTGCAAATACAGAAATTGGAATGGAAAAACACCAAAGCCTCAACTTCGGGGGACCAAGAAACAACTAAACCACCTGATGCATCAATCGCATCCACAAAGAAACAACAAGAAAGATCAAACCCTAACCCGCGCATACGACGGGACACTACTCTCCGGCTCGATCGTGTTTCTGAAAAAAAACACGAGATCCGGTTTATTTGAACGAACTAAACCGACAGCAGTTTGGAATGTGATGGATGGTCCAATTCCTCTCACATTCCAGGCAAGAAGCCTCATTTATCTGCTTGGGGCCATTTTAGGATGGCTTTCTCCACCGTTTCCAGTTCAGCATTCTCCTCCACAAACTATTTCTTCGGGTGCGGGGCCTCCTCAGAAGTACCATCGATATCATCAAAAGTACGCTTCACACCACCACCCGAGGAAACCAGAAAATTTGAGCCATATTCATTTAGGCCAAATTGCTCCACTCCTTCCTCAGTCACATCCCATTGCTTCCCACCACCCAGCGAGTGCAGGTCACCTCTCTCTGGCCCGCTTTCCCCATTATTCATAGATAGCCCTTTCTCAAGAGCCTGAACCACCTTGTGAACTCGACCTGCCTGGGTATGGCGCCCCGCTTTCTTTTTCTCCAGGGGCCTCCGCTTGAGCTCAAAAAGGGTGAAATCTCCTCCGATATCGTCTCCTCCGAGCCACCCAGATCAGCCCATTCAGTGTCCATGGGCATCCCTTTCGGGTTACCTGAAGTGGGAGTATCCACATCAATCCCAGTATCGGGTACTGCATTCCCCGGAGAGGGAAAGCTAAGCGAGGGGGCACACATCCGCAAAGGCACATCATCAATAATTACCCTCTGCCTAGGGTTCTTCGCCGCTGGTGTAGGATTCTTTGGTACGCCACCTCGGCCTTTCTTCGACACTGCCCGAGCCGGAGGAGGTTCACGCCTCAATTCGATTGTTTTCAAGGTACCCTTACAGGTTCTCCCGAACGTGACTCTTCCGTCGTTCAGGTTGCTGGGAATCCCCCTTGGCCTTAGTTTCTCCTTCGCAGGATGGCATGGGAACTTCATGAACCACAAACTCGTCTTCCGATTCTTCTCGCAGGATAAGCCTCCTCCGTCGATCCTGATCGAGGGACGCAGCCATGACCGGGGAGCCAGGAAGGGGCTGTGGGGCATTAAAATGCATTTTCTTTCTCGTACGCCTCTCTCGACCCTCCTACATTACCCCCCATCGCGAGGTACGCAAGCCCTCCTTCTTGCCGCTCCTCCGCCCCATTTCCACAGTGCTCAGGTCGGAATTATGATCCCTGGAAATGGGGTCCTTTCGGCCGGATCCCCCAAGCACGATCTTAGGCGCTTTGGTCATAGGGAACCGGAGAGGAGATCTCCCGTGGCCTCCTTGTGGTTCCACTTCCATGAAGGGGCGCGAAGAGGTGCCCATCCAAAGCGGACTGTCCTTGTTACCTGGCCTCTCCTTGGCTGCCATCGCAGGCTGTCTCCCCATCCTATCCTCCCCATGGGCAGCAGCATACGAGCGGATTTTGTTCTTGTCTCTTAGCTCCCGGTGTTCATTATTAATCCAAACCGTTCGAGGGGGGTAGGTCCGGTTGCCCTCTTCTGTATCAAACATTTTGCGGCCCATTTTTTTGGTCACCATATGCGGACCAAATCTTTCTTTTCCCGAGGGGGATCAAAAGAGCAGCCCTGCCGCGCATGACCCACCCTCCCGCAATGGAAGCAGAAACTTGGAAGATGCTCGTATTTGAGGTTGATCCAAAAACACCCAGTTTCGTCATTGGCCGCCAAGATTTGAGATCGGAGCGGCTTGGAGAAGTCAATCAAGACTTTGACTTTGATGAAGTTCTGAGCCGTCTCTGGACAGGAGTAGAGACCGACTTCCAGAACCCTGCCAAGCGTGGCATCAGCTACCTTGCGGCCGAACTGCGTAGTAAAGCAGTCTTCTTGCACTCCCCATAGCTGCACTTTGAAAGGAGCAGTAGCGAGCCCATCAAAGATTTGTTTAGTGATGGTGGAGTCCAAGGCCGCAAATGGACGATCCTATCTTTAACCACCCATGGAGATTGCCTGAGAATCCAGCTCTTAGCAGTCTTCGACGGGAGCAAAAACTCATATAGGTCATGTGATACCATTCTAATCCGGATTCGTCCCCTTCCTTGCCATGGGTTATTCACCGATTCTCTTAGTTCGTCAATGGAGAACCTGTTCTCCGAGAAAAGGCGGCCCAGCACAGTGCGGGACCTGAGCGTCTTCTCCGATTGGACCTCCTCCAAGGAGAATTCGACAATCTGGTCTTTGGCGACGTGCGACATGGTGATACTCTGCAAGGGTGAAAACACACCAATGTTACCATCACCCACGTACAGGAGAGGGGAATCGCTCAAGGTCCACGGGTAGCAAGAGAAGAAAAATGCAGACAATGGGTAACGGCTAAATCATGCCCAAAAATTAGTTCGAGCCCGCCGCCCTTGAATGCCAACGTACCTGAGATCTCCACATGTTTGCCTGGGAGCTCCAACTGCTTATTCGCTGAGGGCTAGTCGTGCTTCTGTGAAGATGCGGAAGCAGCTCGGGAAATTTCCTTCCTTAAGTAGGAAGCCGTGTCGCAGTGGCCTAAAGGCATCAGGAGTCCCAGGCCCAGCGGGATACTAATTCTCTCAGATATTCCCGTTTTCTGTTTCAATTTTGTACTTGTAGATTCTGAGAATTTCCCCCTCAGGCTACGTAACCGAATGAAATTCAAAATTCTGAAACCATTTCCTTTATCCGAAGATCGAGGAAAATCCGGGAAGCTAGAGGATTTGGCGGTCGTCGGAAACCTCAGGCCAACTACCTTCCCCGACGGCAAAGCACAAGTTGTTGGTCGGAGTTGGGCAAACCCGCCATGCACCATGGTCTCCAAAGAACCATTGTTCGAAATCGCCCCACAATGGGGTCTGAGTTCAATTTCTTCCTTTTTTTTTATTTTCTGAAGTAGCTAATTTGCCCGATGACAATAGCTTGAAAGCGATAGCAACGGCCAGCAAAGAGGCCGGCAGCCGCGGCGGTGGGTCAAGCGGCATCGGCGGGAGATGACAAGGTGCTCTTGGCACCGCCGTAGAGGCTGAACTAGAACTCGATCTCGCCTCACATCGAGGTCTGAGATCAGATGTGGTATGATTGGCCCAGGAATCGTTGACATCATCTGGGGCCATCTCCTTCTTCTCAGGGGTCTGGATGAAGTCTCCTTCAATCCACTCCATTTCGCTTGACGAAGGCAATTTGAACCTCCATGTTGGCGAATGTAAGGTGATTTTTCTTTTTTTCTTTGATTGCAGTTGTTCGGATTCTGACTCGCCAACGCAGGAGGACGAGCGGCCTCGTTTCAGCGCCCCATCCGTCCTGCTTTTCTTGGCCCGGTCACAAGACCTCGCGTGAATTTGAGGCAAGGGTATCGGGACTGTTGTCAACGTCGCTTTCTTGTCGTCGAAGTGGCTGCCGGTGTGACGGGTTGCGGTAGATCTGTATCCCCCTTTCCCCCCATGATCAGCAATGGCTGCCTGCACTATCCCTATGAAGAACGAAAGGAGGCGGTGCTCGACGGAGCGGTAGAATTCCAGGAGAGAGGCGAGAGCATCTCCCCACATTTTTTTTACAATAAGGTGATATCGAGTTCTACGAGAAAAAGAAGAGAAAGTGGACATCGGTCGGAGGGTAGGGAGAGGGCGGGGAATAAACAAATTGCGGTTATGGAGGTGGACCTGGTACAAGAAAAAGACGAGAGATGACCAGAGACGGTCGCCATAATCAAATGGATGGACGAGGGAATAGGGATTGCAGGAATGACATAAGAAGGTCACGAGCTGTTAAGTTTAGATTTCACAAGAAACAAATGACATTGTTTTATGTCATTCGGTGATGGTCGGCTATGGCCAAACGAGCGACCGACCAAACTCGCACATAACAAACTTAGGTTTTAGGATTAATACCCTAGTTTGGTCCGAAGTTTGACGTAAGTGACAGTTCTGTTCCCATTTTTCAAATAAGACATTTATAGTCTACTTTTGAAACTATTGGACAAATTTAGCCCAAAATTTTGTTTGACCGTTAATATTGACGGTCAAACACTATTCCGTTAGTGACTCAGCAAAAACTGCTGATGTGGCGCCACATCATTAAATAATATCATTTTAATTTTACAATTCAATTAAAATAAAAATTAACAAATTAAAAAAAAAACCAAACTTATCATCCAAAAACCCCAAACCTGTCCTCTTGCTTCACTTAATTTTAAATAAATTTTATTATTAAAAAGATAATAACATTAAAAAATCTACAATCTTATCCCTTCCCCTCCCTCTTCTCTGTCCAAGCAATTTTAGATCCGCCAGCCTCTCGAGAGGAAAGCTCATCCCAACGAACTCCGGCATCCTCGCAAGCGCCTAACTTCATCGCCAGTCTTGGGAGCCCTCGAAAAGCACTTCTCCGGCTGGGGTTTAAGTCACGAAACTCTTCTGCAACTCCGGCGTTCTCGATGTTGTCGACTTTGATTGGTGATACCAGCTGGAAACGATGCTGACTCGATGGTTGATGTCTGAGTCACGAGTCTGCTCTGTCTCAACTCGGAAGAAGGGTTGCCCCAAAGCCCGATCTGTGATATGGGCAGGCTCCTTCTACTTGAAATCATTTAATCTTTTGAGATTCCTTCGGCTTGCTGGATCGTCCCTTCCTCTCAGGTCCGAACAATTCCTCCTGTGGAAAGACTCTGAAACTGCTCGTCTCGTCGTGAAACCCTTTAGATTCATCCTGCCAATGAGGATTCTACAGATTGGGATCTAGTTTGCTTTGGCATCGGGCTTCTCTCCCCGACATTTCCTACGGCTTTGATATCATTCTTGTAATCATCTTTCTATTTCCTTCTTTCCATAATAATTGACTTGTTAATTTGCTAGGGGATCGAGAGAATGGGGTGGATTTGTGGTGGTGAGGCATTCTCGATAAGAGAAGGGGAGGAAATTATTGAATTTTTTCTTTCAGAAAATTACTAAATTATTACATAAGAGGGGATTTTTTTTAATTTGTTAAATTTTATGTTAATTGAATTATAAAATTAAAATAATATTATTTAGTGACATGGCATGCCATATCAGCGAGTTTTGTTGAGTCACTAACGGAATAGTGTTTCACCGTCAATATTAACGGTCAAAGAAAATTTTAGGCCAAATTTGTCCAATAGTTTCAAAAGTAGGCCATAAGTGTCTTATTTAAAAAATTAGGCCAGAACTGTCACTTACGTCAAACTTCGGGCTAAACCAGGGTATTAACCCTAGGTTTTATCCAAACATGACCATAAAACTGACAGATTTTACCCTATTTTATATTGTCTGACCTGGTTGGGTACTCGCAGACCCGGTTCAATTCACATCCCTACAATGTACTTAATAATTTGTAAGAGTTACACATTTTTAATGTAAAAACAAGATACATTACCATACATTGTGAAAGTTGCTAATTAAGGTTGGAGATAATGTTAATAAGTTACAAAATTTTCGATATTGGTTACAAACTTAATAATATTTTGTTACGCTTGATTTGTAAGGACTACAATCAGTTTCAAATTAGGATGCTGTTGAGTAATGACTTTTAAAAATAAGAAATTTTTTTTCAAGTCTGTAATTTATTACTTTACACACATGATTTGTAAAGTTACAAACGTTGGCTGCCCGGTGAGGACCGGGGATAACTAGCTTATAGTTATGTTAGCTTTCCTCATCACTGTATTAATTCAGTATGATGATCATATTGCAACCCTCCTCGACGTTATAACCCAACAAAATGTCAAGTGGACATAGTATCTCGGATGCACCGGTTAACCTAACAAATGCCCAGTCAACATTATGCAATCAATACAGTAATTATGCAATTAGTGCAGAATTAAAATGGAATAGCTATACAAGCTTCTACAGCATCAATGGCTTGCAGAAAATTTTGAATAGCATGGAAGCAAAACAGGTCCATGGTCGTTCATAAAATGAGAAATTTGAGAAAGAAAGGGACAAGGAAATTGTAATTATTATTTTAAATAAAAGTAATTAAAATCAACGGTTATAATTACTCCCGTACGATCTACGGCTATTAACAAGTGGCACATACGACGCACCCAAAAAATGGGGTACATATTAGACGCTTCCTAAAATGTAATCATTTAAATATCATGAAATAAATATTTATATACTATATAAAACCACCACTCATTTTTTCCCTCTCCTTCAATTTTCTTCTCATAAAAACGAGGGGAAAGCCCTTGGAAACCACACTTTCTCCATTTTTTCCTTCCTCATTTCTCTCTAGGAAAAACAGAGGTCGATGGAAAAAAAAAGGAGAAGAGAAGAACTTGAAGAAGAATGTACAACATAATTGAGTGATGATTTCTACACATTAGTGCGGGATGTTGCTCCAACAGCTGGGGGGCTGTCGAGAATACAAATATCCATATAATACTTCCAAGCATAGATCTAGAGTAAGTGGTGTAGGAAACTGATGCTCAAAATTTTGCCCTCAATTGCAAACATCAATTGCTACGACTTTCTTTGATCTTAAAATGTCAAGTCAGCGTGTTTATATTTGTCAAAAATGTAATTAATGAAGTTGAGACAACTATCACTTTCATATTAACCATTTAAATATCATAAAATAAATATTTATATACTATATAAAATCATTTAAATGTTGCTACAAATATAACTTATGATGATATTTGTAATCAATAAAAAAGTTAAGGCAAAATACACTTGTATAGCCAAAACTTTCGCGTTTGTGCCAATAATAGCCAAATTTGGAGAAATACCACTTATAGCCAGAATTTTAAAAGTTCCAAGACAAATATAGCCATTTCCGTTACAAACTTTAACGGTGTTAGAATTTCCGTCAGTTAGGTTAACATTATGCTGAATAGAATGCCACCACAGCGCACACGTCAGCGACCACTCGACCAAATTTGCCACATAGTCACCATATCATAATTTAATTTAAAAAATATTTTTTATATCATAATCCCCAAATGTTTGAAAACAAAACAAAAAAAACCCTAAAAAATCGAGGAACATCCGGCTGAGGACCATGCTGGATTTCATCTACCCGACCACCGATAGCTTTGGCTTCTTGATCGTTCTTCCCTGCTCTTTCGCTTTAGCTTCATCTGCTACGGTGGAGGATTTCTTCGCCAATCGTCGTCATCGTTATGCCCGTGCCGTTAACAGAAGAAGAATCCCTCTTTGCTTTTCTCTCCCTCCACTCCTTCCAATCGAAAGTCTCATGTCCTATTTCATAGTCCCTACAACCCCTAGGTGTCGAACCAGATTCGACAAATCTCCATCATCGCAGCATACTTCCAATCGACAATCCTCATCCTCGCAACAGTCCTCCAATCGACAATCCCCCAATGACCATCAAACCCATGTTAATGGCTGCATTTGAACCAAACCCTCAGCCGCGTTCGCCTGAGGAGCAAAGGAGAAGATTAAAACCACAAGAACATATATGGACTCCGATTGGGAGCCGACGACAAAACGTCACCTCTCCAAAATCCCGATTCAAAACCTGGAATCCAACCCTAGGATCTCGCTGACTACATCGATTCCACTCTGGGTTCTCTCTCGGCTCTACCCATCTTCGAATCTGAATCTTGATGGTGAAACCTCCAATCCTGTCCACCACCACTACCGCAGAGCTTCGTTTCGTCGTCTTTGTGGGCTGGGTTCGTGAGATTGAGGATTGGAAACGGGATTGCTAGAGTGGGTGGAGGAGGAAGGTAGAGGAGGGTCGGGATCAAAGTCGAAGTTGGTGGAGCTCATCCTCGTCATATTCGCAACCACCATGACAGCCTTCGGGTACTCTGGCTTCGACTCTGGCTTCTCACCCGTGCATCGGTAACCCTGGTGGCGGTGGAAGCGTTACAATGGTAGATGAGATAAGGGGGAGACCGAAAGCGATCTGGGGCTCGCCGGCGCTGATGCGACGACGTGGACGGTTGGATTGAGAAGGAAGGAGAAGTGGCTACGGTGGGGGACTGGGGGGACGATTGGATCGAGAAGGAAACGAGAAATCGTTAATGTGGGAGGAGGATTAGATTGGGAAGAAAAGGAGTGGCTACGGTGGATTTGAAGGAAATAAGTAAAAGACGATTGGTAAAGGGAAAAAGGATGAGAAACAGTAGGTGGAGAATGAGGAGTTTTTTTTATTAAATGGTTTTTTAATTATTTTTGTTTTCAAAAAATTTAATTTTTATTTTCATTAAATTTAATTTTTATTTATTTTTATTAATCTACATGGCAGTGTTTGATGAAATGTCGCCAAATCAGCATTTCCGTTAGTCCAGTCAGCCTGTTAGATGACACCATTAAAGTATTGGACGGAAGTGGCTATAAGTGGTATTTCTCCAAATTTGGCTATTATTGTCACAAACGCGAAAGTTTTGGCTATACAAATGTATTTTGCCAAAAGTTAATGGTATCATTTATTTAAACATATAAAAACACTTTAAAATATTTTTTCAATCATATAAATAAAACCTTCCCTGGTATGGTGTATACTTGATGCAATCTCAATTCGAAGCCTCGAAGCCAAGTCGCAACTCGTTACGAGAAACCTTCGCGAAGAAATTAATAGGGCACAAAATGTGATGAAGATGTTTTCGTACCAACTTTGTGAATTTATTCCGGGCTCGCGGGAGCAGATATGGGGAAACCGAGAGTTCGACTCGCAGGAATCGGAGTTCCGGAGAGCTCGAACTGAGCTCGTGAAGTTGCTACGAAATCAAGGCAGAAACTGCCCAGAAAATATTCTAAGGCATTTGGCAGGTTTGGCAGGTTTGAGGTGCCGACTCCCCCAAATACCTTCCTCCCTACCACCCCATCACCCTATCCCCTTCTCTCCCGGAACCAAACTCTCTCACTAATGGGAACTGAAGTGAAAACAAAACAAGAAAGAACAAACACCAGAATTGCACTCGCCTCTAGTGGTCTAATCAAATGACGTCGTTGGTTCCTGGGAAGGGTGATTCGTCGGCAAGGATGGGATTAAGCAGCTGGTGCCGCAGCTGGAGACAGCATTTGCGACGACAGGGGATCTGTGGGGAATTTCATCGAGCAGGTGGTGAGTGAGAAGGTGGAGAAGTCGATGACGAGTGTGGCGGCTGATTCGGTCCAACCTCAGCCGAAGGTGGAGAAGTCAATGACGAGTGTGAGTTAAGAAGAATCAGACGAAGAATGAGAAGAAGAGTGGAGGAGTGAAGATCCTTTTTCGGGAAAGTAAAGCAGATTCTGGGATCGACCGGAGAAGATATCTACGGATCGACGGAGTTTGGGGGGAAGTGTGAAGACTGAAGAGGGAAGTCCTCAGAGGGGAAACACGAGTAATTCGCATCCACACCATTAACATGCTATTCTCATACAGACTATAAATATATTTGGGCTAAGGCCCCAACTAAACATCAAGTTTTCCAAGCCCAGCTTGTTCCTTGGAGGCCAACCTCAGCCCAACCAAGTTTCCCGCCCAACTGAGCCACATTATCGTTCCTCTTTCATTTTTGAAACTTTTCCTCCATTGGAAATTTATAACAAGTTAAACACTAATCGACCTTTCTCCTTCCTAGATTCTTCACCGCTGCAAGCAGCAACTGCCGTCGTCGACTCGTCCCAGCTGCCGTCGCCTACGCGTCCCTGTTTTGCGGCGAATTCCTCTTCTTCCTCGTCACCAAATCGTCAATTTCCTCTTCTGCCGTCGAATTGTTGTTTGTGGCGAATTCCTCTTCTTCCTCGTCACCAAATCGTCAATTTCCTCTTCTGCTGTCGAATTGTTGTTTGCAGCCCTCTTTTTGCTGCGACTTCCTCTCAGTCCCTGCTCGGCTCCTTGATCGTCGCCATCATTTTCCGCTGAATGGTCGCCCCAATGTGAACAAGTAATATTCTTTTTCTCGGTTAACATTTACAATTAAAGAGATACAGCTGCATCCTTTTAATTGTTACTGTATACGCATATATCCTTATTTGTATTCTAAACGTTGGACGAAGCGGGAAACACGAATTTGGTGTGCTCCAAATCGGGTATGTGATGCTTTAAGTGATATTAAAAATAATCAGAAAGATTTCTTGCTGCAAAAGGGATTTGGGAAGTTCCTTTGGATTGTTATGGACCAACTTGATATATATATATGGGTTCATGGATCATAAACCAGTATAACCCCACTGATCATACCCTCACACTTCCAAATGGAACTGTGCATCATGTCGTGGAAGAAGATATTGAGTTTGTGTATGGGCTGCCCAGAGGTGATCTGGAAGTCTCTACCATGGAAACCGACACTGATCAATTTTTTCCTGCACAACTGTCCGACTTGGCAGTTGCAATGAATACAGTTCATGATCCCGAGAGCAAGTTCAAGTTGTTTTTTGTATACTTATGCAACTCTCTCTTTGTTGGTTCGAATCATGATGTTGAGAAAAGTTTGCGAATCTTGTTAATGATAAAATGTTGTTGAGTTTCAACAACTTCAACTGGTGCAAGTACTTCCTCCCGCTATTGAAAGATACTATTGCTTCTGAACCTAGAGCAAATCGTCGTGCTGATTATTATTTCCTTGTGGTAAGTTTCATTTTTTATTATTATTCATATATCAATGGGTTTGCATATATTGGTGTTTTTTTTTCGATGAATGGGTGGCTTTATTCATCAAATACGATCAAATAGTTTTACAAACAACTCACATATCCCTAACAGTTTTCAACCAACTAATTGTAACAAGTAAAGAGGCTACACACTCACTATCAACTACCACCTATCGTCTCTCTATATACCATAGCTTCTGGATGGCAGGGGAGCTTGCAAAAACCGGATCTCCCTGCACCTTAGCTTCCACCACCATCTGCATTTTACGAACCAATTCCTCTAAAGTGAGACTTCTCTGACCATATAGTCTTCGGCAGCGCTCCCTCCAGACCTCGCTTATTACCAGACACCATAGAATTCTGCCTACACTGCACTTCCCAAGCTTCTGCACTGCTTGCAGCACTACCTGGTCTAGAGAGCCTGCTAATGGAAATTGCCAGGAGCTAGGAAATACTGTACGCCAAACTGCCTGCACAAAATCACACAAGAAGAAGATATGTTCTCTAGTTTCATCTGAACTTCTACACATGGGACAGAGGGTACAGACATTAGGGTTCCAACGTCTTATCTTATCAAGTGTATTAACTCTATTGAGCAGAACAAGCCAAGTCAACACTGAATTCTTTGGGATACCCCCCTTCCAAACCAGACCTGACCACTGCACTAGACTACCTCTGGGTCTCAAGCTGTGCCATACTCTACTGATTTTAAATTTCTGCATGAGTTCTCCATCCCATTCAATACCCCTATCAGTCTGACATAATCTTCCAGCCACCATGTCTCTAATTTTCAGAATCTTGTTCCATATCCAGGATCCTCGCGTTTGAATTTCCCATATGCTCTGATGTCGAAGTCGATATGCATTTAGCCAGGCAATCCACAGAGTCTCCTGCATAGACAGAATCCCCCAGAAATGTCTAACAAGGCAGGCTTTATTCCATGAATGCAGATCCTTGAATCCCATACCACCCTCAACTCGGGGAAGAGCTACTATTTTCCAGGCAACCTTAGCTCTCTTCTTTCTCTCCAACTCACTCCAAAGAAACTGTGAGCATAGGCTCTCTATCTCCTTAACAACCTTTTTAGGCAATAGAATCACTTGCATCCAGTATTGGGTCATACTAGCTAATACAGAGATCACGAGTTCAATCTTACCTGCATAAGATAAAAGCTTTGGCTGCCACCCCTGGATTCTCCCAGCTATTCTGTTGACTAAGGTTTTACAGTCTACAACAGTCAACTTTTCTGCATTCAGTGGCAATCCGAGGTATCTGACTGGCATTGCTCCTTCTTTAAAGCCCGAGTGTTGCACCAGGGCACTCTTCAAATCCTCTGTCACCCCAGCACTAAAAATCTCGCTTTTGTTAGGATTACACTGCAAACCAGAAATTAAGTAGAATTTCTGAAGGATATCTGCAATCACAGTCACACTTTCCACTGTATCCTTAGTAAACACCAGTAAATCGTATGCAAAACATAAGTGAGTGAGGCCTACTAGACTGCATTGAGGATGGTAGGGTAGTACTGACCTAGAGGCTGCTCTGTTGAACATGCAACTAAGAACTTCCATGCTGGCTGCAAAAAGATAGGGAGATAGGGGACACCCCTGCCTCAATCCTTTTTGAGTTGGGAAATGGTCTGTAAGCCCCCCATTTATACAAACAGTGAAGCTAGTGGACTCAAGGCAACCCTTAATCCAGTTAACAAACCTATCTGGGATCCCCATTGCAAGAAGCACACAATATAAGTAGTCCCAATCCACACTGTCAAAGGCCTTCATTATATCTATCTTGAAAGCACATCTAGGAGATATATTTTTCCTCCTGTACCACTTCACTAGTTCATTGGCCATGATTATATTGGTTTTCTTTTTTGTATTAACCGTGTTTTGTTTTGTTTGTTTTTATTATTGAAGGTTCTGTATCTTGTTAAATCACTAGAGATCGAAAATTCAGAAACCTTGCTGAGTGGCTTCAATCGAGATTTTGTGAAAGAGAAACTGAATGAGGCAATAGAGCAGGACTGCCTTCGTAGGGGTATTGACACTGAGGAAATTCGTCTCGAACATGACTGTGCGAAAAAAGGAGGCTAAAAAGGGTAACAAAGCCAAGGGTTCTACAACATGTGACAATGTTGGTGCCCGGATGGAGCTTGATTTTGCTACTCTGTGGAAGAAGATCACAATTCCAATGCCTGAGATTGTGATTTCTGAAGTTAAGAGTCATAAAGAGGTAATCTCCCCCCCCCCCCCCCCCCCCCCCCTCCCCCGTCTTGTTGGTTTTTGACAAGTTACTTGGAGCAATTAGTAGTAACCTGTTTTGCAGGCTATCTTGTTGGAGAAGCAACTAATGGAAAGCCATGCTAACTGTCTTGATGCACTTGGTGCAATTGATGTAGCCTTGGAAAAGGTTCGGTAATTCATCAGTTCGGCAAATCATGAACAAACAGATGCGCAAGAAGAAATTGATGAAGAAGTAGGAACCGAGAATGAAGAACCCTTGTCTGATTCCGTTATCCCGCCTAGGAAGGAAGATGGTGAAGAAGAAAACATAGAGATGGCAGAAGAAGATAGCGAGAAAGGAAAAGAAGGAACTGTTTCTAATGATACTGCTAGTGACCAGATGCCTTTAATCCAGCTCTTATCGTCTGCAAAAAAGGCTCAAAAACAGAAACAGACCAAAAATGTAAGTTTCTGACTCTGCTTGCTCCTTTCTGCTTGTTTAAATTTTCCTGAAATCACAAACTATATACTAATTTGAATAATAAAAAGTAACTCACACTATATTTTTTATGATAATATCTCAAACTTTCTATTACAATAGTTTAAATACCCAAAAATAAAATTATTGATTAATTATATTTGATATTTTTTAATCGTATGTAATTTATGTGTAATTTTTATAAAGTGTCGTGCTTGTGTCATGCTTATATCTACTGGGGTCCCAAAAATCTTAGGCCCGACACGACCCACTTATATGTCGTGTCGTGCTCGTGCCGTGCTCACAAAATCAAAGCCCGGCACGGCCCGTGAAGTTTTCGTACTCGTGCCGTGCCGGCCCATAAATTTCGTGCCGGTGCCATTACCGTGCCGTGTCATGCCGGCCAATGGGCGGCACGGCCGGTGCCCATGTACAATCCCAAGTCTGGCCTTCGACCGTGTATTTTATCTAAGGGGTCGTTTGGCTCATAGATTTTAGTGGTGGATTCTTCCCTAAGCAAAATTTATAATAAGCAACATATTATAATGACCTAGTATTATTTGAAAGTACAACATTTGATAAGCAAAATTTATAATGAATTAGAATTAATCACCTAGTATTATTTGAAAGTACAACATATTATAGAAGCAATAGATCACTTGATCAGCAGTTGCAATAGTTCATTATAGATATCGAATTACCTCATTCTCGTCAGTGACGTGGTTGGAGATTGACTCCTCGTCATCGTTGTCTATGTTGAGGACTGTTAAGTCGCTATATATTGCAATTTCTCATATTGTAATTGGTGAGGTTGATGTGTTGATATCAAAGAATATTGTAATTGCGATTTCTTCATTCTCTCGCTTATTAATCCACTAAATGGATTTGTATCAGAATATGTTGATATCAAAGATGGAAGAAAGCATATAATGAGGGTATTGGAAAGAAACATTTCATTTCAACTTAAGGTTTTCATTCAATTTCTGTAATACGGTACTGTAGAGTGGGTCGTTAAAAATAATAAGCGAATTATAAATAAGTATAACTTGGGGTAAGATAATATTTATTATTGAGATAATTATGTTTTATTATTATATTAGTTAACTTGTTTTTTTTTTCCTTGTTGGATAATTAGATTTTATTATTAACTTGTTCTTTCTTCAGTGAAGGATCATGATTTGCAAGGCAGGTCCTGCTTCCTTTTTTATACCCTGACGTCGACTCCCTTTCTCAGCCAGCTACTGATGTGGCATTTTATTTGTTCCAGGGAGAGATGACACAAATAACACAAATCTACGCACATTCTTAGTCCCTATAAACTGGATCAATTAACAGAGGATCAGTACAGCTGATCGATAATCAATCACACACTTTCAATGTGAAACTCCTGGATATGGGCATAACAATCTTGACTACACCTGAAATGCTTTAAGCACGCCCAGTAGATGTGCCTCCCGCACGGGCACTCTACGTGATGACACCCATCGACCTTCTCAATCGTACAACATACAGGGCAGTTCTTGACATCCTCCTGCTTCCCCTTGCGCCATTCCTTGAGCGACAAGTCAGGGTCCTCCTTGTACTTCTTACACGACACCTCTAGATGACTCTCCAAGTGGCACCTTCTGCACGTCTCGGCAAAGCACACCTTGCATATGAATGGTAGTACAGGCTCGTCGTCAATGGCAGCCGGCTCAGCAGGATTGGCATTTGCAGCTTCCAATGCTTGGTAAATCGAAAGGCAGTCTGGCGATGGGCAGAACCTGTATGTCCCACCACTCGATGCTACAAACGACCTCAGTGAAGCTCTGAAAAGTTCTTCCAGCTTCTCCACCGATAATAGGGCTCTCAAATCTGTGACCAGTATAGGCACCTTGCATCCCTCCCGGGAAGCTGTCCATGTTTCTCATTGCTGCCTCAAACTGCTCCACCAAACATGACTGGCAGAATAAATGCGAGCAGCCTTCGAGTCTGTACCCGCCATTCTCAACTTCACACAAGCAAATTGGGCAGCAGAGTTCGCTGTAAGTATGGCCGTGGAGGATTGGCCGCCACCAACATTGCTTGCTATCTCTCTAACCATCTCTTCCACTCTATTCCTCACCTCTACCTTGTTGCCGGAAACAGAAATGACGTGATGCCGTGTGTCCAGTGAACATTCTACTTCCCTGAACTCTTCTTTGAACCCTTTCAGGTAAGGACCGAACTTGTTTACCACTTTCTTCATCAAGTCTGGAGGAAGACCTTCACCTTTCATGTGGACTTTGAGCTGCTAGCTTTCGTGGTACGTCAGAAGGGATTGGATCAATTTCTTCTTAGTTGCAGCAGTGTTACTCGAAGAACCGAAAACTCTGACATTGAAGTTACGCTTGTCGAAGAGGACGTAGGTTTGTGTCTGCTGCTGTATGGATCGCATCAAGTTGATACCAGGTGGGGAGAATAGATGCCTTAAGACAGACTGAGTGAGGCTTTCATGATTTATAGTCCTTCCTCTCATAAGCTTTTCCAGTGGTCTTCTCAGCTCCACAACTGTCTTGGTAGCATTAGCAAATAGGTCTACTCTCCAGGAACCATTGGCAACTTCCTCCAGCTTGTATTCCACACCTGAGAGTGATAAACAAATTCAAAGTTTAAGTAAATTCTCTGCATATCCATCATTAACACAGATGAAATGTACATAAAGCATACCATTATCATTATCTATGAAGCTTTCAAGCACCGAATCCACTTGCTTCCTGATTGCAGAATAAACTGGTGCAGTATAGGTCAATGAGCTATGAAACAACTGCTGGCACCTTATTTTCTGCCACGAGAGACATACCGACAGTACTTTCCCTTGCAGATACTCCAAAGCTTTAGCTGCCTCCAAGTGCAATCTCCCATCAAAGATAATTGAAGCTTTCATACAACGAGGATTTTTCGTGGTCAGTATTACCATCAAGGTGTTCGACGAATTGCCGCTTCCAGTTGAAGTAGCGCCTGGAGAAGGAGGAGTCGTGGCGGGTCTTGGCCGTCATGATCGAGTTACTCATGGCGATTGCGTGAATCGGTGAATGGGTAGAAAGGAAGTTTATAAGAGTGAGTGAAGAATGTGAGAAAATTTGTGGAAAGGGGTTTGGTTTGAATTTGGAGAAGTGTGGGTTTGAAGCAGGAGGAGAAAACAGAGTGAGACGTGGTGGTGGTGGTGGAAATTTTATTTAAAAATTATTATTGGGTGAAAATAAACTATTTTTATTGTTTTTTTTAATTTTATGGATTAAAGATTATTATTTTTTAAATTTTTATTACGACAACATCAACTAACGGTCAAATTTTATAGTTGCCCGTTAGATTAGACGGTCAGTGATGAATGGTGAAACAAATCTTAAAGTGAGTGACTAAAAATGTAAGAAAATTTATGAAGTGATCAAACGTGAAAAAAATTGATAAACTTAGTGACCAAACTTGTTAAACGCCGCCCCGATCTTGACTCATTTTATCTCAATTTATTACAATATCTATACATATTTCTCTTATTTTGACTCATTTTAAATCTAGGTTGACGTTTGGGATGAATTCTTCTTAGGGAGCTTTTTTTGGAAAGATATCTGTAGGAACAAATGAATGAATTTGGTAGTTAGTTTTCATCTTATAGAACGTTTTGTTGCCATCCTGTTTTGGATCTTATTTGTGAATTGGGTCTTGATTTGATTCTGAACTGTCAGTTGTAGTGTTGCTTGCAACTAGGCGTTCATTCATACTTGGTTCATTTTGTCCCTATAATAACCTCCATTTCCTCGACACTGTCAACTGGGCTTTCTTTGCATTACAGTTCATTTTCAAGGGTAGGTAAATTCTATTACAGGTTATCTCATTTGATTTTATAAATGCTCCTGGTTGTTTGATTGATCCCATGAACAGGGAATGTATGTTAAAGCTGGATTATTTGCATCATGAAGTGCCACTTGAACCGTGCTTGTGTGATGTGTTAAATTGTCTTGCTTAAGTAATGCATTTTAGGGTTGCTCTGATTCAGTATCAGTGAAATGGTTCTTAGGCGGTTGAACAGGGAATGTATGTTAAAGATACATGGTGTACGTGTTGTGAATGTGGGGCTTTTGCTGAGTTGAGTCATAGCTCCATTTTAGACATTCGTAGATACTTACATGGCCTAACTGGGCATTCAAAATTTGATACATATTCAACACATACAAATTATATAATCAACGAACTTTGCCGGCCAAAAAGCCGGGCCTTGTGCTAGTTTCATTTGAGCCAAATTCATACCCGACAAATAACATATGGGTCTAAAGTAAACTACTTAGAATCCTGTTATTTTAAATCCAACCAGCTACTCGTACATTTGTTAGAACAGTAAGCTAGTGAATTTGTCATCTTCGCGCTGTTTATTGAATATGTATTGAAGTTGATTCTTGCATGTCTAAAATCTATCCTAAATTTTCATTTCCTATTTTTCTTAATTAGTTTAAAAATTGATTATAATATAGATCATTTAATGAAAAACTAATTAAGTGGATTATTATTATACCATCTAAATTAAAACGAAGGAAATATAATTCATTAATGAAAAAATATATAATGATTGAAGCTACACATTTTGCATTCCAAAGAGCATTAGGGTGGGAAGTTGTTCTTATGAGGGAAAGTGCTCCGATGTAGAGAGGACATAATTCCGTTGAACATAAATGCAATACAAATGATTATTATTACTAGCCTGGTCTATGGAAATGGTAGGGGAAGAGACTGTACTTAATTTGAAGAGGGGGAGATTTATGGCAAAAGATTTCTTATATCCTCCATGCACTTTCTGTCAATCACATCAGGCTGTCAGTGATTCAATAATCAATTACCTTATTTAATGGCTTGAGCAATCTGCTTAACCAATCTGTTATATTCTTCACCAAAACCCGCTCGAAAAAAATGGCGATCACCTCACTTTACCAAAATCGGCGCGGATTCAATCGGCCTCCCGTTCCACCTCCGGCCGGTCGTCCATCCCTCCTCTGGTCAAGCTTCGATTCAATCAGTCTTCTCTTCTTCTCCTACCCTCATTAACTTGTAGAGCTATTGGTCAAACAAACCATAATTCGTAAAACTACCCACAGAGGCACACTTCTCGGGGGCATCTTCTTTCTTGTCACCTCTCATCTCAGGCGGACTCCCATTATGAGGAAGAGAGAAAGAGAACCGGAGATACAAGACACTGCCGACTTCTTTCCTCCGGAGAAGAAGAAGAAGAAGAAGAAGAAGAAGAAGAAGAAGAAGAAGAAAGAGCAGGTCTCTTGTCTGGTTAACTCTTCTAGGAGTATGGATCTGAGGGAGTTCTGGACCGTGGAGAATGAAGAAAGGCTATTTGAGGAAGGTGATTGATTTTCGCAGCGGCGGAAGAGCTTATTATCCTCGTCCATATAAGAGATGGTGTGATGGGGCCTGAAAGCTCATTCGCAAGCGATTAGCGACGAGGTATAGACTAGCCGCCTTACCTGGTTGGAAATTGCTAAAATACATGGTCAGACTGCTTCAAGCTCAAGGTGGTGACGTAGACATGCAGAGGATTGTAAGTTTATCCTCATTTTTTGTTTGCTGATATTGCTATCTGCATTTTCTGCTTTGAATGGTGTCCTTTTTGAGAAACCGATTTCCCAACAGTCCTTATTGGAATGCAAAAATGCTGAAACTTGCGTTTTCCCTTATTGGAATGCAAATTCAGGATAGGGAGGGGCTGCTGTTTCAAGCATTCACAGCCAAAACAAGAATAGGACCGCCACCGCCGTTTGACGACGACGGGAAACTCCCCGAGCCAACCTCACCCGGGGAGCCAACTTCGCCCAGGGGGACAACCACAAGCAGGGTCAGGCTGAGTGTTTCCAATGTTAACTATATTAGTAGGACCAATAATGCTGGCTCATTCTCAGCCAGTGCTAGTCGCACGGCAACTGAAGATGATTCTGCAAAATTCTTAAGACGGTATGAGAGTCAGCTCAGGCGTGATGAATTCATAGCATTACTTAAGAGTGGAAATATAGGAATTCTTATTCCTCTTGCTAAAGACAGAAGTGAAACAGACTTCGTCGAATTGTTGAAGGAATTTGCTGGCATTTGTTTGGGTGGAACATGAGTGCTAGTAGCTGTCTTCAATTTGAACAAACTGCAATTAGGTTTTATGCTTTGGTTTCTTTCTTTGAAGACTTTTATGTTGTGGTTTGGAGCTCTGTTTTAGAATCTTATTTCGCCGTTCTGCTTTTGTGAATGGGGGACTTCAGTGGATTGGATTAACCTTATTCTGCAACTAGGGGTGGGATTCGGGCGGTAAACAATTCACCGTTTACCGAATTTACCGGTTTCGGTATACCGATTACCGATACCGAAGTTGGCCAAATTGGTTACCGATTACCGATACCGGTTTGTAACCGGTTTACTGAATTACCGGTAAACGGTTACAAACCGGTATTTACCGAAATACCATGAGGACGCAGGGCAGGGGAACCAATTCGGCAATTCTGCAATTCTTGCCTCCATGCTCCAGGCGTGGACGCCGCCGCAGTGGCGAGGAACCTCATCTTCCGGGACACCTCCGCCGCAGCTCACCTCATGTTGGCCTCAATCTTCGTCATCTTCCTCACAAGCACGGTGGGAATCACCGACCCCGTCCTCCTCGCGCAGCTCTTCCGCGGGAAGCCGCTCTACGACAAAGCCGTCCTCGTAATCAAGTGCTTTGCAGCGAGTCATCCTCTCCACCTCCTTGGTCCACGTCCTCCCAGCCGCCTACGCTTCCCTCGTCGATTGAACCGTCTCGTCGCGGCATCCGTGGAAGGACTTCCCGTTCGCGGGGCTCGTGACGCTGATTGGCTGCCTCCTCGCTCTCTTCGTCGACATCACCGCCACCGAGCACGTCAGCCACGACCATGGAGGAGCGGGAGAACACGAGTACGAGCCTGTCGCCGGCGAATTGGGGAAGCAATCGAGGGGGCTGCTGAGGATGGAATTGGGGGAGGAGGAGGAGGATGAACGAGGGGGAAGAGGGAGGATGAGGAGGAGGAATTGATGTTGAAGGCGAAGCAGAGATTGGTGTCTCAGGTGCTGGATATCGGGATAATTAGGGAGGGGATTTCGGTATCGGTATTACCGATTTACCGTCGATATTTACCAATACCGTGTCCGGTAAACCGACTCCCCAAACTTCCCGCTCGGCTGCCGATACCGCCGGTAACCGTTTACTGCCGGTTACCGGTTCGGTAAAACGGTAAACCGTTACCGGATTACCGTTTACCACCCCTATCTGCAACTGATTTAGTTGGAGTTTCAGTCCTTAATCCACCTGTGAATTTCTTGGCTTTGCTCCACGACCTCAATGTGATGCAGAATAAAATTAATTCAATCCAACTGAAGTCCCTCATTCACAGAAGCAAAACAGCGAAATAAGTATCTAAAACAGAGCTTCAAACCACAACATAAAAGTTTTCAAAGTAACATAAAGAAAGAAACCAAAGCATAAAACCAAATTGCAGTTTGTTCAAATTCAAGACAGCTACCAACACTCATGTTTCACCCAAACAAGTGCCAGCAAATTTTTTCAACAACACAACGAAGTCTGCTTCACTTCTGTCTTTAGCAAGAGGAATAAGAATTCATATGTTTCCACTCTTAAGTAATGCTATGAATTCATCACGCCTGAGCTGACTCTCATATCGTCTTAAGAATTCTGCAGAATCCTATTCAGTTGCCGTGTGACTAACACTGGCTGAGAATGAGCCAGCATTATTAATCCCACTGATATAGTTAACATTGAAAACACTCAGCCTGGCCCTGCTTGCGATTGTCCCCCTGGGTGAGGTTGGCTCCCCAGGTGAGGTTGGCTCGAAGAGTTCCCTGTCGTCGTCAAACGGCGGTGGCGTTCCTATTCTTGTTTTGGCTGTGAATGCTTTAAATAGTAGCCCCTTCATGTCCTGAATTTGCATCCCAATAAGGGAAAACACAAGTTTCAACATTTTTGCATTCCAATAAGGACTTTTGGGAAATCATTTTCTCAACAAAGACACCATTCAAAGTAGAAAATGCAGATAGCAATATCAACATTCAAAAAATGAGGATGAATTTACAATCCTCTGCATGTCTACGTCACCAGCTTGAACTTGAAACAGTCTGACCTTCTATTTTAGCAATTTCCAACCAGGTAAGGCGACTAATCTATACATCGTCGCCAATCGCTTGAGAATGAGCTTCCAGGCCCCATCACACCACCTCTTATACGGACGAGGATAGTAAGCTCCTTCGCCGCTGCGAAAATCAACTACCTCCCTCAGTAGCCTTTCTTCATTCTCCACGTTCCAGAACTCCCCCAGATCCATACTCCTGGAAGAGTTAACTAAACAAAAGACCTGCTCTTTCCTCCTCTTCTTCTTCTTCTTCTTCTCCGGAGGAAAGAAGGAGTCGGCAGTGTCTTGTATCTCTGGTTCTCTTTCTCTCTTCCTCGTAATGGGAGTCTGCCTGAGATGAGGGAGGACTTAGCATGACAAGAAAGAAGATGCCCCCGAGAAGTGTGCCTCTGTGGGTAGCTTTACGAATTATGATTTGTTTGACCAATAGCTCCACAAGTTAATGAGGGTAGGAGAAGAAGAGAAGACTGATTGAATCGGAGTTTGACCGAAGGAGGTATGGACGACCGGCCGGAGGTGGAACGGGAGGCCAATTGAATCGGCGCCAATTTTGGCAAAGTTGAGGTGATCACCATTTTTTTCGAGCGGGTTTTGACGAAGAATATGACAGGTTGGTTAAGCAGATTGCTTAAGCCATTAAATAAGGTAATTGATTATTAATTAGGCCTAAAGGCCAAATACACACACGACTTTCACATTTGGGTCATTAAACCCACCCCTTTTCTTTTCGACAAAACCAGAAAGGAGAAACTTTCCAAAATCAAACCCGTCATAAACACCAACCAATTTCTAGATTCGAACTAACCATGAACATACACAATAACCAACAGGAAATACTTGGCTGCAACCTAGGTAGCAGCCAACTCCTGCTACCCCTCCACGTGTTATCTCCTCATTGGTCATTTTCTTTTGTTTTCTTTCACCGTCAAAAAGCTTTAGAAATTAGAACCCATTTAATATTCTTATTAAAGGGTAACGCTATTGATCCATGATGATTCATTTACTTAATTATGAATAATTTATTTTTACATCCTATGTAAAGTAGTTTGTAAGCAAATGTGGTTCTTCTGTGTCGTGATAGATATGTAGTGTGAAGAAACAACATTATTATCTACGTATGGATTAATGGATGGGGACCAAATGTGTGGGAATTGGGATAGATTTGTTAGAGAACATTTAGGTTTGTCCCGATGACCTGCTCCCTTTACTTATTCATTATTTTATAAATCAATTGGTACCAATAATTCAAATTATTAGAAAAAGTTAATTATAGATCTTATACCACTTTCTAACATGTCCCCTCAAACAAAAGTCGGGAGAATGTTAATTATGGATCTTATACCATTATCTAACACGGTGACACCAACGAAAGCTAACTCATGAGCTAAGTTTACATAGACTCACCATATATTGTACTTTAATCAAGGGTTAATGTTGAAGGTCATGAAAATTCGAACACACAACCACTTGGCCAAACTTACTTTGATACCATATCATAAACCAGTTGATCTCACTAACTCGAATTATTGAAAAAAAATTAATTATAAATGTTATATCACTATCTAACACACTAATTTGTCAAAATTTTGTTTCTTCATTGGGTGGACGTGGGTGATTATGTTCAGCGCTGCGGGACTCTTTCATCTTACTAGCTAGTAGCTACTAGCATTAACCTTTAAAAATGAAAATTAAACGAAAATTCAAATGGGTTCTCAAGCTTTTGGACAGTGAAAAATAAAATAAAAAAACGCCAATGAGGAGATAACGTGTGGACGGATAGCAGAGGCGGGCTGCTCCCTAGGTTGCAGCTAAGTATTACCCATAGGCCATAACCAACCCCATAGCTAAACTGAAACAAACTTCAGTTTCAAACCCATCATCACTACAGAAAATTCCAGTTGCCATACGAGCCCAGAAAACAAATTCTCAATCACCTGTCATGGTAACTGCCGGCGACTTTGCCTACTCTCGCCGTCGGTAATTCTCTTTCTTTCCAGCAGTTCCCCACTGTCTTCAACTCTGCCATTCAAATCCAGAAATTGAAGAAACCAATTTAAAACTTTCAAAGGGAAAATCGAATAAAAACCCCCCAAAATACTTACTATAGAATCCGCTCCAGTGAGTTAGCTCCCTCGCCGTCGGAGAGACCAGGAGCCACCAACGGTTTCTCCTCCTTCCCCGCCATCGTCGGAAGTCCTCGCCGGCCGGCTGTTTCTTTCTTTCCTCCTTCCCAATCAAACCTTCGCATCTAAAAAACACAAAAATCAATCAAAAAGCTTATCAGAAATCGAAACCCAGAAATTCAAAGAGAACAAAAAAAAGGTCTAGGGATCTTGCCTTTCTCGCCGGTGAGACCTTGGCGCCACCGCCGCAGTCAAGACTCGAAACCGACGGCGATTCCTCCGTCTCTTCATCTCCTTCTTGCCTCCATCAAAACCCAGAAACATCCATAGAAGGAAGAGAAAAGTGGTCAGAATCCCAAACTCGAAATCCCAAACAAAACCCTAAAAAATCGACATGCAACGGTCAGGCACTTACCTCCGGCCATCATAATCGATGTCGTCAATTTCTCTGCCGCCGAACCTCGCTGATCTTGTTTCCGCCGTCGCCTTCGTCGGAGAGGAAGGGAGCACTTACATCTCATCGTTATAGAGAGCGAGAGATGGAGAAAGAAAGGGTCGTTTTTTAGGAATGAAGGCTGGTTTCATTTTGTTCATCGCGAGAGAAAGAGAGGGAAATCGAGAAGGGGGTGATTGGGATTGCTTTGTTTTTTGTTTCTCTGTTTTGTTCGTGTTTCAGAGAGAAGTAGAGGTGAAAGAAAAGAGATCGTGTGAGAGGAGTAAAGGGACAAGAAGAGAGGGCGGCTAGGGTTTTCTAGAGTTGATTTATATACATGTTTGGTTAAAATGACCTTAGTACCCCTAGGGTTCTTAATATATCCGCCCTTGCCATCTCCCTCTGCGAAATATTAGAAAAAAACTCATAGGAAACTCGAACCCGCCCCGGGACCAAGGTTGTCAACCCGCGGGTTGACCCGGACCCGGTCGAGCTAGTGGGTCAATGGTTAATGGGTCAACCGTTTTAGCCCGGTTTGGCCCGGAAATATAGAAAAAATCATTATATTGTACTTATCTTCCTAAGTTATATCAAATCTTATCTAGCATATGACTTATAACATATAATATTACACCAAAATAACATATCGTACTTAGATCCAACATATAGTGAAAATTCACACACACTTATATAACATAAATATTCAAATGTTCAACTTAGGATTCCAAAGGTTGAGTTAGGCAAAAAGAAAAATCGGAAAGTAGGCGCATTTCGCAAACCAATGAAAAAAATGACATAATTTGACCTCCAACCCGGTACCTTGTAGCGGTCGGCCCGGCGAGTGCGTATGACCCGTTTTTCTAACTGGGTCAGGGTCAAAGTGGGTCGACCCGCGGGTTGACAACCTTGATTTCATACTCATAGTAAAGCGCATGACCACTCGGGCTACGTACCATTTCTTATCACTCAAATTGTTCGTTACATTTTTATTGTAGAGTAACTTAATACGCAAAACTTACAACGACCAATCGAGTTGAGACTTTTTGCATTGGCCGAGTTAAGATTACTTCTATGTATTTCAAAATGCTAAAACCTTGATTAAATTTTACATACACATATTTATTTTACTTAGAGATTTCCTTAATACAAAATCATGGTGAAAGGCCCGTGATAGTCATTCTTGATGAAATTCTTCCAAAGACAATCTAACATTCAATCACTAAATTGAAAAATCATAAATCATTTTCCTAACAACTCAAATTATCTTAATCGCGATCAATAGAACGTATTTAGGATCACTTCATAAATCTCACAATTTAAACGAACTACGTGGACTTTGATCCCGACTAAGTCGGGTACGTAGGCAACCAATAGGTTCGAGTCCAACCAATCTAAAAAAATATTTTTACATCAATAGACGTGAAAATTATCAATTAACTACAACAATTCAAAATTTACGTCCAATTGGACTCTAAAATAAATACACCCAGAATAATTAAAAATAATTCAATTTTACGATTAAATACACAAACAAGGCGCAAATAATAAAACACACAACCTTTTAAAACTTATCGATTTAAGTAGTACCAATTTTTGGGCGTTGTGGGGTGTGAATACACTTCCCCACACGTAACCGTACTCCCGAACCCAAAATCTCTAAAAATTCGCAGACCAGAACCTGGTTTCGACCCTAAAGTCGAGACCGGGCCAAAAGGTGTTCGACCCACCACACCTAAGATCAATGGCGACTCCGAGCGATTCGCGACGGATCCCCTGATCTCGGAGGGGCGGTTGCGACAGCCACGTCACACACTTAACGGTCAATTCTAATAGTTGACTACCACATCAGACAAAGTTAACGGAGTTGGACGGAGAGTGACCAAATTTGAAATGTTTAAGTAATTTTAGTGACCACGAATGAAATTAATATTTATTGACCAAACGTGAACCTTTTTAGTAAACCCGGTGACCAACTATGCAATTAACCCACTAGTTGTGTTTCGCTCTCTGTTTTAGTTTGTTGGTGATGCTGTCAAGTTCCATCCCCACACCACACCGGAAACGAGCAACATATTAATGTTTGGTTTGGGTCCTGTATATCCTATTTAATATCCGATCGATAGGTTAGGGTTTCTAAAATATTAGATTAAACACAAAATATTCTACCATTGACTTATTTAGTACAACCTTTGCTTACAGTTTTACAATCCTTACCTACAAGTACTAATAATTGTAATTGAAATGGTATATTTGATTAAATGTCTCATTTTCAAATACGATAAAGACAAATTGTGGCACCCTTATAATAAAAAATATATTCCAAATGGTATTCAAATTTGTTGGGTTGTCTGTTGAGTTGGACTTGACCTCGGTCTTGGCCGAGTCATTAAATTAGTTGGTATGCATGTCGTGTGTATATTGTGGGTGAATTTGTTTAAGTAAGAGAGAACAGAAAGAGTTAGCAGTTGTTAGAGTAAGCGTTTTTCCAGGGACATGGGGTTAGTAACTTATAGTGGGAGCGTGATTGAGGGGTTGAAGCTATGTATTTATTGTTTCTTTTTCTTATTGAATGAATTGGTCAGTTTACTTTCAACGAAAAGCAACATTGTGGTATCAGAACCCTCTTGCAAACTGTAACCAGATTTTGAGTATTGTTGAGAGAAAGTTTCTGCAAGTCTGATTGCAGAACTGATATTTGGGAAATACAAAGTGCTATAGGTGAGAAACACAAAAGGGGAGGTGAGTGAAACCTCAGGTCATTGTGTGATAGTGAGCATTTCTTTTTCCATACTGGACTTCGAAACACGAGAGCTTTGTGCAGAAATCACACTGCAGTGAAAATGGCAGAGTTTGATGAGGAATTTTACAATGTTATATAGTATTGGTGCTATAGGTTTTTGTCTTTATGGTACAGTTTGAAATTGTACCTTTAACGTTACGGTACAACTTTAGATTGTACCTATACTATTTGTACAAATTCTTTTATGATACAGCTTGAACTTGTGCCTTTATGTGATGGTACAACTTCAAGTTGTAAAGTTGTACCATAACATAATGATACAAATTCCTTTCTGGTACAACCTAAACTTATACATTTAATGTTATGGTACAACTTTAAGTTGTACATTAAAGCACCAATACTATATAGCATAGTAGTAGTGCTCGAGTTTGATAGCTTTGCACAAGTGTGTATTCCAAGATTTGACGGTGACTACGATCACTGACACGCCAAAACACAACACCAAACTGCGACCAAGTGTAATCGCAGTCCGGGAATGCAGTAAAGTGGCAAGTTCTATTATCAACCCGGGGTCTAGATCTACTGCTTACTCCGTGATTATCTATTATCTAGCCAACTAAGTCAAGTGATTGTTGTTTTAAGCAAAAGCAGTAAGAAAGCAGGAATTGGTTCGGTTTTCTCAAGCAAAGAAGAGTCACTCGGGAATGAGTCCCCCTAGCTCCTTAGTTAGGTGTCAATTGTAATTACCCTGGGTTGATTTACTGTTGATTAGACTGCGGAAGATCCGACAGTAGCTTGGAATCTCTTAAGCTGACCAAGCCCTCTCAGTCTAACTACCCGACAGACGACTAGTCTTCACAGGGATAGAAAGCTGAAGCAATAAGCATAGAACTCCACTACTGGAATTGGATTCCAGTACAAAGTAGTAAACTGGCTAACTCTCGTATAGCCAATCTCCTACTACCGAATGATGAGGCTCTAACAACCTAATCAGATTCTATCTATCTCAGGTTGCAGCAGAAATCAAGAAAAGCTGATCAGACTTCAATCAATTCAATAAAACATGCATCATTCGATTAAAACCAAACAGTATAATCATCCCAAGTCATTACAATCAAATCCCTAACACATGAAACTAGGGTTCTTCATACCCAAGTGAGAGAAGGGTTCTACTCCATAGAGAGAGAGGAAAACAGAATACAAAGCAGTCATACTCATAACAATGGGAAGAATCTGCTCTGGGATGATGATTTCCACTCCTATGATGATCTCCAAGCTCGATTTGATGAAACCCAGCTCCAAGATTGCTTCTAGGATGTGTTCTTCGCACTTTCTCTCTCTAGGGCTCTATTTTTGCTCTCAAAAGTCGATTCCCTCACTTGTGGCCCGAAATTGGGTAAAAACAAGAAAATCCCCATCACACGGGCAGGCCATACGACCGTGTGGCATACCTAGATGCCCGTGTGAGATACAAAACGCCGCGTTTCCAATAATTGCACTTCAGGCAACCTACACGGCCAGGGACACACAGCCATGTAGCTCACCCAGTCTGCCCGTGTGAAGCCTTGCATAATCCCACACGGCCACATTGGTTACTTGCACGGCCGTGTGGGTTTGGTGTGTGCCCGTGTGGCTTCCTCAGCGACTTGCCTCGCGCCCGATCTTCGTCCAATCGACCCCGAACTCGCTCCCAAACCTTTCATTCACGTACTAGGACCTGAAATATCACAAACAAGCACAACATAGCGTGAAATCGGCCTAAAACACGAGAATCAACATCTCAAACGGCTCAAGAATAGGGGTGAAAATATGTGCAATTAACAGTTTATCAAACTCCCCCACACTTAACCGTTTGCTTGTCCCCAAGCAAACCAAGTCAGACACAAGGTAAGCTTACATATTTCAAACATACCAACATTGGGGACAAATCATATAGGCACAGAAACACGTGAATCGTACTGGCTTTCAAACATCAACACATGAACAACCTCAATAGCAACCTGGACAACCACCCCAGAAGACATTTGAGTGCAGCAAAGTCGAGTAAAGGAGAAGTCTCCCTTCTGTTCATCAACCAACCTAGACTTGACTCAACCACTTACTCAAGACAGTCAACTCATGCATAAAACTCAAGACATCAGAATCAAGAACGAGCCATCTAGGTCCTCAACGGGTAAAGAGTGTAAAGAACAAGGAAATGAATCGCTCACTCTCGACCAGTGGGGTCAGGACGATGCGAAAAATGCGCATACTTATTCTCTCAATTCCTAACATCTCTTCACCATGACGGCAACCTCTAAATGTTAGAGTTCACATAAATGGTTGTCATCACTAACTAATCCGGAGGTCTTAGACACAGGTTCAAGTGACTGGCTAGGGTCTTGGACATGGGGAAAAGGCCTTTTAGGTGGTGGAAGTATTCATAGCACAAGGTTCCACATTTCCAAACCCAATAACTCACAGTCAATCAAACCAGTACTTTCTTTCTGCTATTCTGCATTACTCAAATTCTTCAAAGCACAAGAGCGAAGGAGGTAACAAAAATGCTAGTATTTCTAAGCCAGAC